CGATCTAGACATGTGTATTCGTCCGTCCGTCTGTCCGTCCGGGTTGGGTAAAACTTCAAAATTTCGTAAATATTTATCCTTGTTAGTGATAGAGTGAAGATTTATGTATTTCGATTCCGGTTGGAATCTTTTGAAAGTTTTAAATTTCTCCGCCTTCTGACTTCTCCTAGTACAAAGAACTTTTGAAGACATTTCCAACGGTATAGGCACAGTCATGGTCTACATGAGATATGATGATGTAAAGTGGTCGATGTGTCTATCATGTCCTTTTGAATTTGTGTGTATAAATTATAGACGTCGACACAATTGTCCTTGTAAAAACTTGAGTCCTACAATAATCCTGTTTGAAACCTGAAAAATGTAACAGAATGTCTGACTTACTACTACCCATTTCATCTATACCCATCAACGATTGTAAGGATATAAAACCTATAAAAATTTTAAATTTAATTAAATTTATTTTTTATTACTATTATTTTTTCATGTTTTCTGTCTCCCGTGTTTTGACATGAACTCAAGATTTTTTGTTTTCTCCTTTTCTTGTAACCAATTTCAGCATTTAATCGATTTAATTTCAAATTTGAAAAAACTACAGTTTTTTTTTGTTTTCAACACCATCCTCATCATCGTCGTCCGACCAATTTGTCAACTTTAATTAAAAATCATTGAAGCGGATGTTGTTCGTTTTGATAGTAGTTTAATATCCGGCTCTCTGTCCATGATGGTTAAAAAAATATATAGGACAACATGTCAATGTATACACTCGACCATAGAACCACACGTGTATACACGTATGTTATTTTGTATGTGTTTAACGATTTAATGGGTTGTGCCGGTATTGATTTTTATATTTGAAAAATATTTTTTTGGAACTAAAAGCCTGGCATTTTTAAAAGAATATTTATAGATTTAAAAAAAATATTTTATAGATTTAAAAAAATATTTTTTAGTGAATATTCCAATTTTTTCAAAGCTTTTTTAAAAATTTACCGATTTTTTCTGAGACATGGTTTTTTTAAGAATATTCCATTTTTTTCAAGAATATTCCATTTTTAGATATTTAGAAATATTTCTGAATTGCAAATTGAAAACTCTAAGGGTCCACTTTTAACAGATTGTTTCAAAACTCATTCAATAATTTGTCTTAAAAGCTCTGATATCTAATTGTTAAATAAGTTGTGTGAAAGCTATGTGCACTTATCGTGGAGGTTTTATGAATATTTAAGAAGCTAATTTGAAAGATTTTTTGGAAGCTTTATGAACTATTCTGAAAGCTGTAAGCTCTTAGCTTTAATTATATACAAATTAGAGGGTTCTAAGCTGTATTTATTAATGATTTGTCGAAAGCTCTAAGATCTAATAGTTCAAAGGTTGGATGCTTAAAGAATACTTTTGTAAGCTTAAAGCTTGAATTTTAATTTTTCAAAACCATTAAGGCAAATATTTCTTGAAAGACATGGGTAGTTAAAGAATAGTTCAAGGACTTTAGGAGCTTTAAAGAATATTTTTAAAAGGCTGTTAAGAGCTTTAATCTTGGATTTGTTAAATAAAATGTTTACAAGGCTTTTAGGAGTTTTAAACGTAGATTTTTTGAAATAATGTTTTTATAAGACCTTTAAGAGCTTTAAGCGTGGCCTCTTGAAATAATATGTTTACAGGGCTTTTGAGAGCTTTAATAGTGGATTATATAAAAAATATTTTTTCAATCGTCATAGGAATCGAGGATTTTTTAATTATTATATTTACAAAGCCTTTAAGAGCTTTTTTCAAGGATCATATTAGTCGTGGATGTTTTAAAGAATATTTTCCCAATCGTAAATGTTTTAAAATATATTTTTTAAAGATTTTAAGACATTTAAGAGCTTAAACAGTAGTCGATTTTTTTGAAAGGCCCTCTAGAGCTTTAAGCTTAAGATTTTCAAAATATTTTTGGATATTTTTTAATAATTTTTGTTTTTTTTTTCAAATTTCCTCACATCTAAATATATCATTCCAATACAGTTTTACTAGGCCTTTAAGAGCTTTAATCGTGGATTTTTTAATGAATATCTTTACAAAGCTTTTAAAAGAGCTTTAATCCTGAATTTTTGTAAGATTATTTTTACAAAACTATTAGAGCTTTTAAAAGTGATTTATATAGTATACGATATTTTTTAAGAGCCCTTAATAGCTTTACAAGATTTAGATTTTTTGTAATTTTCCTCCCATCCCAATATTTTATTCCAATATATTTAACGTCCATAGTTTCAATTTCAAATTACTTTAGCAGAACTTTCGAACACATGTATATAGATAGAGAGTGGTCGCTATTATTTCACTTTCATTTCGATTTTTTTTTTTTTTTTTGTAGTTAGCAACTGAATAAATTGAATGACACTAAATACTGAGATCCTTGACAAACTGCTGACACACAAATAGATGTGGAGCTTAAAAAAACGACCACATGAAAGCTTCTTTCGTCCTTGGACACATTTCAGCGACTAATTTTGATTGGCATGGAATATTAGAGGTTCAAATGTTCCGACAAGAGAACAGTTCATTTAGAATGATGTCCTGCAAAAGGTTATTACTTTCCAAAAACAGTTTGGAAATTTAAAGGGAGGTACACACATGTGGCGAAATTTGTTAACTTAAACCAGGAATTTATAACTCTCTGTTGATATTATCATAAATAACAGTTCAAATTCCTCCAACAGTTATGTTATCGAACATAAATCGATAATTACCCTACAGATTTATGATTATGAGAAAATAGCTTGCCATGTCTAGATTAGGTGGACCTTTGGTTTATAAATTTCATTTAAATTAAGATAATTCGGAGGGAGTGAGGGACAGAGGTTTCTAAATTAGTACGAGTCCATTACGAAGTTTTTTTTAATATTAGAAAGTTTATATTCTATACTATAGATATTATTGCGATTCTGGTGTAATAATTTTTTAATTGCGGATTTTTTTTCTCTGGCAAAAATAATAACCAAAACGTGTGAATTTAGCCCAGTCATTTGATTCACGTGTTCATTAAAAATCCATAGATTGATTTTTGTGAAGGTTCACATGATACACCAGATGTTTATGGCATGTTCAATTGTGTTTAAATTTATTTATAATCTTTATTTATAATCTAAACGGGTTCGTAAACAATTGCTAATAGTTATCAGGGAGGCACAGTGTTTCAAAAACGAAAATGATACAAAAAGGACCAAGTTTATGTATGGAATTTTAAAGAGTTTTTTCAAGGGTCCACAGAAGGTGTGAATTTTTTCAAGAATAGTTTTATTCGAGGGTTCACAGAAGGGGTAGACTTTCTAAAGAATATTTTTTCAAGGGTCCACAGAAGGTGTAGATTCTTAAACCATTTTTTCAAGGGTCTACAGAAGGCGTAGATTCTTAAAGCATTTTTTTCAAGGATCCACAGAAGGCGTGGATTTTTTTAAGAATATTGTTATTCAAGGGTTCACAGAAGGGGTAGATTTTTTTAAAGAATATTTTTATTCAAGGGTTCACAGAAGGGGTAGACTTTTTAAAGAATATTTTTTAAGGGTCCACAGAAGGCGTAGATTCTTAAAGCATTTTTTCAATGGTCCACAGATGGCGTGAATTTTTAAAGAATATTTTTCAAGGGTCCACCGAAGTCGTGCATTTTTAAAGAATATTTTTTAAAGGGTCCACAGAAGGCGTGTATTTTTTCAAGAATTTTTTTATTCAAGGGTCCACAGAAGGGGTAGACTTTTTAAAGAATATTTTTTTCAAGGGTCCACAGAAGGCGTAGATTCTTAAAGCATTTTTTCAGGGGTCCACAGATGGCGTGCATTTTTAAAGAATATTTTTTCAAGGGTTCACAGAAGGCTTAATTTTTTCAAAAATATTTTTATTCAAGGGTCCAATTTGTTCAAGAATATATTTCTTCAAGGGTTTACAGAAGGGGTAGACTTTTTAAAGAATATTTTTTCAAGGGTCCACAGAAGGTGTAGATTCTTAAAACATTTTTTCAAGGGTCCACAGAAGGCGTGCATTTTTAAAGAATATTTTTCAAGGGTCCACCGAAGTTGTGCATTTTTAAAGAATATTTTTTTAAAGGGTCCACAGAAGGCGTGTATTTTTTCAAGAATATTTTTATTAAAGGGTTCACAGAAGGGGTAGACTTTTTAAAGAATATTTTTTCAAGGGTCCACACAAGGCGTAGATTCTTAAAACATTTTTTCAGGGGTCCACAGATGGCGTGCATTTTTAAAGAATATTTTTCAAGGGTTCACAGAAGGCGTAATTTTTTCAAGAATATTTTTATTCAAGGGTCCAATTTGTTCAAGAATATATTTCTTCAAGGGTTTACAGAAGGGGTAGACTTTTTAAAGAATATTTTTTCAAGGGTCCACAGAAGGCGTAGATTCTTAAAGCATTTTTCAAGGGTCCACAGGAGGTTCATATTCAGAGCATATCACTGTGTTTATTGTTGTTGTTTTTTGTATCATTTTCAAATCAAAATCGAACATCATAAATTCAACAACAATGTATAAATATATCAATAATAATATAGACCTATACTAACTATCCCGACCGTACCATCATATAATCACAAAATACAAACCTCCATAATTAGATTATAAACTTCGAAGAAAATGAAAAACGAACACACACACCCCTCAACAAGAAACATTTATTGGTGGCCAGAAAGAAGAAAATTTACAATTGGCGATTAAAAATTTAAACACTTTGGAGGCTTAAAAAACACCAACGACAACAGATTCGATAAGATTAGCGATTATTGATACCACCGTCAACCATTGGCCAGCCATCTTTTTCCACGATAGATGGATTCAGTGCCAATTTGTCGATGGCCAAATACGGCTAAGTGAGACGTTCGTTTAGAATAGAAAAAATAAATATTTCGGGGTAAAGGTGAAGGAGAAGAATTTAGTTCGGACTTTCCAAAAAATCCACGGGAATAATGGTGTCACGTTATTTGTGTTGTCTGGCAGTGTCACTTTTTGTGGCATCGGTGGTATTGGCTCACGATCATGGTTAGTATACAAATCCACGCCTTGTGTTGGTTCTTTGAAAACAATATTTTTTAATAAAAATCCAGGCCTTGTGTGGGCCCCTATAAAATATGTTGTTTTTTCTGACCACGACTTCTGTTGGTCCTTGAAAAAAAAATTTAAATCCACGCCATGTGTGGGACCTTACAAAATGTTTTTTTAAAAAAATTGTAAAATATTTTTTTTTTAAATCAACGCCTTCTGTTGGTCCCTAAAATTATTTTTTTTTAAATCAACGCCTTCTGTTGGTCCCTAAAAATATTTTTAAAAAATCCAAGCCTGTCTGAGACCTTGAAAAAAGAATTTAAAAAATTGATTTGTTGGTTTCTGAATTTTATTGTTTAAAAATTACGTCTTGATATTTGTTCTATTTATATAACTGACTTGCTTATCATTTGTTTGATATATAATTAGATTAATATTTTATTATGGTTCTGATCGGATTTTAATCTTTATTGCCTCGTGTCACCTAATCAGTTCCCAGGTTCCTTGACCATTGAAAAAATTCAAATATTTTTTATTCACTTTTTCCAGACCATGCCAGATCCCGTTCCGCCGTACCACATTCCGTTAAATTTGAAGAGGAACGTCAAACCGAATATTGGGTAAATAAGGGCCAGAATATTTTGGCCCAAAAATTGGCTCAACATGAAAAGTTGAATACGAATAAGGCCAAGAATATTATCATGTTTTTGGGTGATGGTATGTCCGTGCACACTGTGACAGCCACACGTAACTTTATGGGTGATAGTTCGGAACAGGTGTACTTTGAGACCTTCCCCTATTTTGGTCTATCAAAAACCTATTGTGTTGATCGCCAGGTGGCCGATTCGGCTTGTACCGCCACTGCCTATTTGGGTGGTGTCAAGGGTAACTACGGCACCATTGGTGTCAATGCCAATGTCCCCCGTTATGATTGCTTGGCTGGACAAAATCCCGCCTTTTGGGTGGAGAGCATTGCCAAATGGGCTCAGGATGCTGGCAAAGATACTGGTTTGGTGACAACCGCCCGTGTTACCCATGCCTCTCCGGCTGGTGTTTATGCTCATATCGCTCAACGTGGTTGGGAAAATGATGCCGAGATAGAAGATGCCGGTTGCAGTTCCATTGATAATGTCGATATTGCCCGTCAATTGGTCGAATGGGATGTGGGCCGTAAACTCAAGGTTATTATGGGTGGTGGTCGTCGCAATTTCCTCAACTCAACTGTCAACGATGAGGAGGGTATCCCTGGTATGCGTCGTGATGGTCGTAATCTAATCAAAGATTGGTTGGACGATAAGAAACGCCTCAATGCCAATGCCTCTTATGTTTGGTCCCGCAAAGGTCTCAACTCTGTGGATTTGGATAAGACCGAATATCTCTTGGGTTTGTTTAGCTCTTCGCATTGTCCCTATCATGGTGATTTGGAACGTAGCCGTTTGACTATGGCCGATCCTTCGTTAAGTGAAATGACCGAAGCGGCCTTGAAAATTTTGAAAAAGAACGACAATGGTTTCTTCCTGTTTGTGGAGGGTGCACGCATTGACATGGCCCATCATGATACCAGGGCTCGTAAGTCCCTCGAAGATACCGATGAAATGGCTAAGGCTGTTGGCATTGCCAGGGAAATGTTCTCGGAAGATGACACCTTGATTGTCGTGACCTCAGATCATTCACACACCATGACCATTAATGGATATCCGGTAAGGAGCAAAAAATAAACTTTTCTCATGATCCAATTTTTTAATAATTGTGTATTTTTTCAGTACCGTGACCAAGAAATCACTGGCCTGGCTCCGGACATGGCCGATGACAACTTGCCCTATACAATTTTGTCATATGCCAATGGTCCTGGTTACTACTCCACCTATGGCTCGACGGGTCGTAAACTCATCACAGAAAAGAATGTCGCAAATGCCAAATATGAATATATGGCCACAGTACCATTGGATTCGGAAACCCATGGTGGTGATGATGTTGGTGTCTTTGCCTCCGGACCCTATGCTCACTATTTCAGTGGCAATTATGAGCAAACAAATATTCCAGCCATGATGGCAAAGGCTGCCAATATTGGTCCCTTTGCTTCAGTGGGTGTCTAAAATAAAGGAATTAGTTTTAAATATTAATTTTTATACAACTATGCGGATTTTTTTAATAATAAAAAAATAAAAAAAATAAAATTTGGGAAAAATATTCAGAAGGCTTGAGTCTATAGAGGGGTTGCATTTTTTTAAAGAATATTTTTTCAAGGGTCTATAGAAGGCGTGGATTTTTTAAAGAATATTTTTTTCAGGGGTCTATAGAAGGCGTGGATTTTTTCAAGAATATTTTTTCAAGGGTCTATAGAAGGCGTGGATTATTTCAAGAATATTTTTTCAAGGGTCTATAGAAGGCGTGGATTTTTTCAAGGGTCTATAGAAGGCGTGGATTTTTTCAAGAATATTTTTTCAAGGGTCTAAAGAAGGCGTGGATTTTTTCAAGGGTCTATAGAAGGCGTGGATTTTTTCAAGAATATTTTTTCAAGGGTCTAAAGAAGGCGTGGATTTTTTCAAGGGTCTATAGAAGGCGTGGATTTTTTCAAGAATATTTTTTCAAGGGTCTATAGAAGGCGTGGATTTTTTCAAGAATATTTTTTCAAGGGTCTATAGAAGGCGTGGATTTTTTCAAGAATATTTTTTTCAGGGGCCTGTAGAAGCCGTGGATTTTTTCATGAATATTTTTTCAAAGGTCTATAGAAGGCGTGTTTTTTTTTCAAGAATATTTTTTCAATGGTCTATAGAAGGCGTGGATTTTTTCAAGGGTCTATAGAAGTCGTGGATTTTTTAAAGAATATTTTTTTCAGGGGTCTATAGAAGGCGTGGATTTTTTCAAGAATATTTTTTCAAGGGTCTATAGAAGGCGTGGATTATTCCAAGAATATTTTTTCAAGGGTCTATAGAAGGCGTGGATTTTTTTAAGAATATTTTTTCAAGGGTCTATAGAAGGCGTGGATTTTTTCAAGGGTCTATAGAAGGCGTGGATTTTTTCAAGAATATTTTTTCAAGGGTCTATAGAAGGCGTGGATTTTTTCAAGAATATTTTTTTCAGGGGCCTGTAGAAGCCGTGGATTTTTTCAAGAATATTTTTGCAAAGGTCTTTAGAAGGCGTGGTTTTTTTTCAAGAATATTTTTTCCAGGGTCTATAGAAGGCGTGGATTTTTTCAAGGGTCTATAGAAGTCGTGGATTTTTTAAAGAATATTTTTTTCAGGGGTCTATAGAAGTCGTGGATTTTTTAAAGAATATTTTTTTCAGGGGTCTATATAAGGCGTGGATTTTTTCAAGAATATTTTTTCAAGGGTCTATAGAGGTCGTGGATTTTTTCAAGGATCTATAGAAGGCGTGGATTTTTTCAAGGGTCTATAAAAGGCGAGGAAAGAAAATTTTTTTAAGGGGTCTATAGATGGCGTGGAACGAATTTTTTTTTCAAGGATCTATAGAAAGCGTGGATTTTTTTAATAATAATTTTTCAATGTTCAAAAAAAGGCGTGGATTTTTTAAATAATATTTTTTCAATGTCCAAAAAAAGGCGTGGATTTTTCAAGATTATTTTTTCAATATTCAAAAAAAGGCTTGGTTTTTTTTAAGAATATGTTTTTAATAGGCAAAAGAGGCGTGGTGCATAACATGACCCTTCGAGCTACGCCACTGCCTCAAATCTCCCTTTTCGTGACATTTCTTTCGTGTTTTATTTTGTTTTCTTGCATCCCCCTTTTACCTTCCATTCTTCTTCTTTCACTTGTATTCCCCGTTATTTAAAAAATCTAACCCCTCATTTGGAGGAGACTAAAGACCTCTCTCTCGAACTGAAACCTTGAAATGTTTCTGCAGCGATCTTGGCTTATTTGTCGGGTGTGTATGGAGCAGAAACATGGAATGGTTGATCTATTCTCAGAGGTTTCCGACAAACCCATTTGGAACATTTTAAGGGATTGTGGTGGTATACCGGTAAATTTGAGACTCGAAAACGAAATTTTGTGACCTCATGCCTACCCTCCATTTAAGGTACGTCGAAGAGATAATCTGCCGGACAAAATATGTGCCGATTGTTTGGATCGACTATGGAAGGCCTATGCCTTTCGTTTGGATTGTCAACGGGCCCATAGGCAAATAACACAGGTGGTCCAGCCAAATACCAAGGATGAGGAAGAATTTCTAACAGATCATGAAATGAATAGGGTAAGGAAAAGGAGAGAGAGTGATGGAGGGTGGAGTGTAGATATAGTAATTTCGATATTCGTATGTTACAGTCCATCTCCCTGGAGGACTATCATCAACAGGTCATTGATAAGTTCCAAATGAAAAATGGTTATTATCGCGACTCCATTGATAGTCTGGACACCTTCTCGTCCCTCTCAGCTGATACCATAAATCCACCAAACATATCTACGGGCACAAAATCTTCTACGAATTCCGCAAAAGAGGATGACAACACAAATTCGCCAAATTCCAAGGATGACCAACAACAACTGTCCTCTATGCGTCCGCTCAAGAAACGCATTGTCATGTCCTACAAGAACACCAAAGACCCCATGGTGACACGAAGTAATCGACGTCTTTCGAGGTTGGAATCAAAAAAAGAGAAAAAAATCAAAGCAACCTCTTCCTCCGAATTCCTTTGTAATATCTGTAATAATGTCTATTCCAGTGCGACTCTGTTGAGGCATCACAAATATACCCATCGACGGCCGCATCTATGCAAGTTGGTACTCAATGAAGTGTTTTGTTGGAGTATTTGAATATTCCTTTACCTCCTCCGCCATATATTTATTGTTGTTGTTGTTGTCGTTTGCAGAATCTGTGGTAAGACCTTCAGTCAAGTGCAACAATTACACAGTCACAAAAATTCTCATTCTGGCGAACGGCCATATCCTTGCAGAATGTGTAGTCGGTTCTTTGCCGATATCTCGAATCGTAATAAACATGAAAGGTAAGTACGGACGAATAAGTAACTTAGAGGAAAATATTCATATCTTTTTTTTTTAAATATTTTCCAAAAAAGGAATTTTCACAAGAGATCATCGATGAGAAAACCCGCCAACAACAGCAGCAGCAAATTTGAGTGAGTACTTTAATACAAAAATTCAATAGCGCGATTTTTATTATTAAAACGATATGAGAGGAGCGGAACTTTCAGTATTTGCTTTGATATTTTCCATTATGCGTATCAATAAATGGCATTGTCATTGCCAGCAATTGAAAGCATACTTTTAGGCGCAATTTAGTTGGGTTATCTTATTTGAAATCAACAGAAAATGCTTTTTTGTTGTTTTTTTTTAATTTTTTTTTTAAATGGGAATATGTTTAAATTTGCGACACCACTAGAAAATAGACAGGACCTAATATATAAAATATATAATATGAAAGTTACTATATGTCATGTTTTAATCTCTATGCTATTCCTTTTTATTTTATTTTTTGTATCCTTTCCAGATGTTTAATATGTTCGAAAAACTTCAAAACACCCGAATTGCTAAGAGACCATCATCGTTCAGTCCATCTGAAATCATTGAAGGCATAAATAAATAAATTAAATGAATTAAAATATTTATTCAGAATTCCGGCAAATGGACTAGAGCTAATGAATTTTTAATATTAAAATTTAAGCATTATTTATTTTAGTATGCATGTTTTTTTTAATGAATAAATCTAATAATTTATTAAGAATTTAACATTTAGTATGGAATTGAAATGTGTGTATGAATTTGATAAAAAAAAATAAAATATTGAATATTTTTAAAAATTGTTTAAAAAATCGTTCTCATTTAAAGGTTGGATGTGGCAGATATAGTAAAATAGGTAAAGGGGGAGCTTGCATATTCGAATATGGTTTAATATTGCCATTATCACACTAGAATATTCAAATCACGCCTGTAATAAAAATTTTCGAAATGTGAATGAATGAATTCCTTTTTGTGAAAAAAATGATATTGAAATCGATATTCAGAATAAAATTCACATTTCTTATTTTTCTGAATTTTTATAATAGACATGAAATTTGCACAGGCTAGGAATTTAGCTCTATTTAATGTTCAGTTGTTGTTGTAGCAGCTGGTTCTGTGATACATAAAAATCGGGTGATTCAAAATAACACCTTGTTGAAAATCCTTTAAGTTTGGCATAATTCAGAAAAGGATCTCTTGGTCCATAAATGTTTGGAAGACCTGTTTAAGGCCTCATCGATATATAAAAGATCTGTGGAAGAAGTAATCTATCCAAAGATCTGTCAAATATATCTTCTATCTGGGAATAGATCTCCTATCTGGGAATAGATCTTTTATCTTGTAATAGATCTTTTATCCTCTTCCAAATATCTTCTATTTGTAGAAGACATTGGAAAGTAGTCTTTTGTCTATCGTGGAACTGTTATGGAGGTAGTCTACCTATAGACGAACTGTGGAAGAGGTATTCTATCTATATAAGACTTGTAGAAAAAATCATTTATCTGTAGAAGACCTGTGGAAATGTCTTCCATCTACTGAAAACTAGTGAATGATGTCTTCAATTCACAGATGACATGTGGAAAGGCCATTTATCTATAGTTGACCTGTTAAACGAGTCCTATATATAAAATACTTGTAGATGAGATATTCTATCTATAGAAGACATTTTAAAGCAGTCTTATATATATATAGAACTCTGGTAGAGGTCTTTTATCAATATCAGTCCTGATGTATGGGTCTTCTACCTATGGAAAGGTAAGGTCTTCTACCTAGAGGCCCTCAATTTAAAGAAGAACTGTGAAATAAGTCCTCTTTTTATAGAAGACCTCTGAAAGAGGTCCTCACCTTATAGAAGACATGTGAAAGAGGTCCTCTATATGCAGAAGACCTCTGAAAGAGGTTCCCTATTTATATATGACCTGTGAAAGAGGTTCTCCATATAAAGAAGACATGTGAAAGATGACCTCTATATATTGACCTGTAAAAGAGGTTCTCTACTTATAGAAGGCATGTGAAAGAGGTCCTCTATATACAGAATACCTGTGAATGAGGTCCTATATTTATAGAAGACGTGTGAAACCTCTCCATATATAAAGGAGGTCTTCTATGTATAGAAGACCAGTGAAAAAGGTCATCCCTATATTGAAGACCTGTGAAAAGGTTCTCCATTATTAGAGGACCTGTGAAAGAGGTGCTCCCTATATAGAAGATTAGTGAAAGAGGTCTTCTATGTATGGAAGACCTGTGAAAGAGGTCCTCTATATATAGAAGACCTGTGAAAGAGGTCTTCCCTATATAGAAGATCCGCGAAAGAGGTCTTCTCTATACAGAAGACCTGTAAAAGATATCCTCTATTTTTTATTTTTTTTACTGAAGGCGGGTTCTCCTCCAGCTACACAACTTTCTATTAAAATAGAAGGTATAAGACCATACACCATATGTACACGCCGTTCAACAATCTATGAATCCTTTGATTACTGTTGTATAAAAACGAGAACCTCTTATAAACAATTTTCGCTCAAATTTGTATTCGATGATAAGCTATTTTGCGTTTAGTTCGGTAGATAAAACACGTGGCATGATGAGCGAAAGCTTAACACAGAACCATTTTATATTTTTAAGCCCGTAGGCGTGATTAACCCTTTAAAATGTGTATTTCTTGAGTGCCGTCCGATGACGAACAGAGGTCCTCTATTTATAGAGGATCTGTGAAAGAGGTACTAAATTTACAGAACACCGATAAAAGAGGTCTTGTGTATATATAGAAGAACTGTTAAGGGGTCTTCAACCTATGGAAGACCTGTGGAAGAGGTCTCCTGTCTATAGACTTCTGTCTATAAAAGAATTAAGAGCTCTTAAGTCTATGGAAATAATGATGGAATAAAAAACTCTGTTATTTTCTGCAATTATTTATACATATGATTTATTATTTTTTGTTTTGTTTGTTGTTGTTTTTTTTTCTATTTATATTGATGAGACTTAAAATTAAATGTGTTTTTTATTGTTTCGTTACGTGTTGTTTTTTTTTCATTTTTTTAATGCAATTTTTTATAGTAAATATAGATTTGTTTGTTTTTTTTATAATATTAGAACTATTTCGGGGTTGCTTTGAATTATGTAGAGAAGTGGAAAGAGGGGTAAAAAAGGGAAGAGTTGAGTTGTAATTTTTAAATGATTTTCAGTATAAGAAATAGGGGGAGGTGGAGGATGAGTTGGTTTTTTTATATCTTTATACAATGTCGTTTCACCTTTTTTTAATTCAAAATTGATATTTAGATTACAATACCGAATAAAAAATCTGAAAACATTTTTTATTTAGACAATTTTTTTTATAAATTATTTTGTGGACTGTTCATACGCCCAATTTTTTTTTCAGAACTAAAACACGGGAAAATCGTTTTCAAATTAAAAGTAAGAGGGCATTTTTTTTAAAAAAATCCTTAATTTTGACTCAATATTCAAGAGTATTGAGTGATATTTTACTTTGAAATTTTGCTGTAATTTACATGATTTTATTGTGTTGTATTTCTCTTCCCTTTATTGTGTGGTTTTGTGGTTTCTTTCCTTTTTAAACATCCCTTTTATGGTTATTTTATTATTATTCTTATTATTTTTGTTGTTGTGTGTTTGAATGTTTGTTGTATAGACAAAGAGAAAGAGAGATTTTTTTAAATGTAAATATTTACACGATTTATTATTTCATGGGTTTTGTTTTTTTCTCAACTTTCTACATTATTAAAATATACTATATTCAATTGTTTATTGTTGTTGTTGTGTTAGTAGTTATATTTTTTTAATGGTTATTTTCCAATATCCAATAAAGCAGGTTGTTCTTGTTTCTTTACAATGTTTAGAGGGGTTGATTTTTTTTTAAATTTTTTTCTTTTCATTGTTCAAAAATGATATTTTAATTTTTTAATTAATATTAAAGTTTTCTTGTTGCCATTTAATATTCTCGTTTTGTTATATATAATACATCAAATGTTTAGTTTCTTTAAATTAATTTAAATTGTTTTTTTTTTTTGGGTTTTTTTCTTTTCTTTTTTCTTGTTGCTTTTTCGTTTCATTTTCACACAAACAAATTATATTTATTAAACTACTTACAGAAAAATGTTATTAATAAAAAAGTTGTTTTTTTTTCATTTTTTAAGATTTTTTCTTTTTTTAATATTTATATTAATTAATAATAATTATAATATTAATAAACTAAAAAAATTGTAGGGGTAGAGAAGAAATAAAAACACATAAAAATAAAAAAGAAATTAGAAAAAAGGGGAGGGGGTGTGTGTGGTTGCAAAAATTCTTAATTCGTAAATCAATTATTTATATTTTTTTTATATATATAATGGGGGTATGGGTATATGCAAATATCGTTTTTTTGTTTTGTTTTTTATCTTTAGCTTAAAAAAAGAAACATTTACTTTATTCCTTCATCATCATGGTGTGTTGTTGAACTTGTTGCTTTTATTGTTGTTGCTGCTGTTGCTGTTCTTTTTCTTCTTGTTATTATTGTAAATATTATGGTTGCATTTGTGGTTGTTGTTGGTCTGCTGCTGCTGCTGTTGTTGTTGATAGTGTGTTACTCTTGTTGTTGTTGTTGCTGTTGTTCTAGTATTTCTTGTGGTTAGTTATCGTTCTATATGCCATTCTGTTTGTTCTATCCAGGACAGACAAAAGAAAGAGAATTGATTTTTTTAATTTTAAATCGTGTGTGTTTGTTTTTGTTGTTGTGGGAAGGTTAGAAGGATAGCATATAGATTTCAGTGGGGATTTCAAATTAAAACAAATTAAAATTTAATTGATCTCTTGTATCTCACCATCCACCATGTTGTTCATTTGTTGGGGATGATTGGATTTAACCATGCATGAACGTGCAACTGATTCAAATAGTCTGAAAAGAAATGATAGATAAAAATATATTATTAGAAAATTACATTTAGATAGAAAGATACCAGTTGTAGAATTGGTCGTTCATCTATTAAAGACCGGGGGAAATGTATTCCATATATAAAAGGCCATAGAATTTCATTGACGACCAATTGATGAAGTTTTCCATCTTTTGAAAACCCTTGGAAAAGGTCATCAATGTGAAGTCCTTTGGAGTAGTTTTTATCTATATAAAATATCCTTAGAAAAGGCCCTCTATTTATAGAAATTGTTTGAAGAAGTTATCTATCTATAAAAGTCCCTTGGAAAATGACTTTCATCTATAGAACATCCTAGGAAGAGGTCTCCGTTACAAAGAACACCTTTGGAAGAGGTCTTTAATCTATAGAAGGCATTTGGACTAGATTTTCTATTCATAGAAGGCCTTAAGAAGAGTTAATCCTTCTATAGGATGCCGTTGGAAGAGATCCTCTACCATTGAAGTCCATGGGTCTACAATGCTAGAGGTGCTCTATCTATAGAAAATCCTTGGATGATGTATTTTATCTATAAAAACACCTTCTACCTTTAGAATACCTGTAGGAGAGGTCTACTAGCTGCAAAAGTCCAGTCGGAGTGCTCTACAACATCTAGAAGTTATGTCGAAGAAGTCTACTACCTCTAGAAGAACTGCCCGAGATGTATATTGCCTCTAGAAGACTTGTCGAAGGGGTCTTCATCCTCTAAAAGACCCACCGGAAAGGTCTACTACCTCTAGAAATCCTGTCGAAGAGGCCAACATCCTCTAGAAAACCTGTCGAAGAGGTCAACATCTCCTAGAAAACCTGTCGAAGAGTCTTTCAACATCCAGTAGTCCTGCCGAGTGGTCTACATCCTCTAGAAGATCTGTCGGGGAGGTATACTACCTCTAGAAAACATGGCGGAGAGGTTTACTACCCCTAAAAGTCCAGTCGGAGAGGTCTACAACCTCTAGAAGTTATGTCGAACAAGTCTCCTACCTCTAGAATAACTGTCGGAGAGATATATTGTCTCTAGAAGATCTCTAAAGAGCCGTCGGTCTACTACCTCTAGAAACCTAAGACATGTGGAAGGTCTTCATACCATAATTGATAGTTATTTCCAAATCGGTCAATAGTCTTATATTAACAGAATACATCCGATAGCCCTTCCCTCTAGTATCCATTAAAATTATCTAAAAACGATTTGCTACAACTTACTTTGATATTTCCGGAGCACAGTGAACGAAATCATGTTCCCAGAATTTATAAATGGGATTCTTAATTAATTCAATGAATGTTATCAAAAGACCCCATGGATGTGGACGACTAACAATGACACGTTCCAACAGTACACGGGTGATTTGTTCCTGTATTGCTTCGGAATTCGCTTCGGCGAATAGATGTAAAACAGCACAGCTAAAGTAATGGGTATGACTGTTGGGATAACGCAATTGATTGGCAATGGCATTCAAAAATAGATAACGTCCTTCGGTATCTAGATCAACAGCCAAATTCTGGAAGATATCCATGTGGGCGCTATGTGCCACATTCGATGTATTGGGGATAAGATTTTTGTTCCTAAAAAAATAAAGAGAGAAACAAAATTAAATTAGAATCCACGAACATAAATTTTGAGTATTTCGTCGTACATACCTAATATGGGCAATAGCCTGTGTACCCACATACAAGACCAAAGCATTCATAAGCGGTATATTATACCGTGAACCCGGCTCATTGGATATCTGCAAATGGCTACGCAATTCCGATAGGAAAGTCACCGGTGCTCGAGCCTTCAAATATGAATCAAGATCCTTTTTGAAATTGGCCGGCTGAATGTTCATCACATAATTCGAACAGATCTTTGGAGCTGTGGCTGTTTCAGCCAACATATCAACCTTCAAATTGGGTGTAAATGGATCTGGCAATCGCATATTACGTGGAAAAGCTGCCAATATGATGTTGCGCATTTGTATACAATTTGGTGGTATGGCATCACAGAAGCCAAAGTGATAGTCACACAAAAATTCAGGGAAATCGTGCAATAACACGAGCAGAACCCGCAGCGTTCCTTTATACAATAACTGTACTGGCTTCGCTAGTTCGGCATTCCGCAGGAATGGTGCCAGATACTTGAACAAGTCCAAGAGTAACTGGGCATAGAGTGGCCAACCCTTTTGTTGGGGTATTTGTGCCAGGATACGTCCGATAAAGATACGATGTGATATCAACTCCAACCAGGCGTAACAGAAGCCGGGCGCCAAGGCGGGATTCAGGAGATGATAGGTGTGTGAGAAGGCTGTTACAATACTGTGCATAAGAGATTCCAAAACAGCATCGGGTGAGCTCAGCTCAAGGAATAGCATAACGAAAAAGCGATGATATCCCAACTGTTGGAATGAACTGCAATGGACTTCTTGATCTTGCAACAGAATGCCCAGGACAATGCCCAACACTTTGTTCAGCAGATTGATTTTGGTGGTGGGATTGCCGGACTCGCCCGAATGACGTACCAGCAAAGCAATCAAATGGACAAAGGCATCAATCCAATGGAAAATCTTAGTTTTCGCCTGCACTGGAGTGTGGGTTGGATCGTTCAATATGCGGTATACCAAGTCCATACAGAATTGTGTGGCCTGGCGGAAGAACCGTGTAATGAGGTCGTCGGTCTTCAGTATACCATACATGTTCATTTTCTGTACAAATGAACCGAAGTTCTTGGTCTCACGTGACAAATTGTGCGACTGTGAATAGATGGAGACCCAATCCTTGAGTAGGAATTCTGTTTTCTCCTGCAAACCTGGTGGATCATCACAATCATTTGACTGTAAACAAAAGATAAAAAATAAAAATAAATTATCTCCCTTTCAATCGATGTGATCACTCTCTCATTGACTTACCCTTACATGTTGCATTCCCGAGTGTATGTACTGTGTTGCCCCGGCCAAATAACGATCGGTTACAGCACCAAATGTTCCAGCATCCATGGTATTGCTACTGCCGAAAAGCATATCAATCAGGTGCGACAAGGCCTCAGGATAGCGGTGGCGATGTTGTGTCAATCGGCTCAACATTTCAATGGTAACCAATAATTCCGTCTCAGCAATAATCGATGTGGAACGTTCATCGGTTAGCAGACGTTCCATAAGCGTAATGGCAAAGGTAACAGCCAAAAAGTTATTACCATTGTCCATCGATTCACGCAACAGCATATCGAACTGTGGCACATTTATGAAATGTGAAGTGATCAGCAATTTAATGGCCTCCACATTGTAACGTGCCTCTTCGCGGATATCAAAGATACACTTGGTAATGGCCCGCTCCGTTGCTGGGGCACCAAATGTATTTTGCAGCAGAGTTAAAATACGCAAATGGATATCGCGATATAGTTTCATTTGTTCGACATGTTCGGGTATGTTGATTAGACCCTCCACGAAACCCTCGACACAGCGTGTCAACAGATTAATGGCTGAATCGTGGTCACGAATGCGACGTGTGACCATCAGAGCATTGAGTAGGGCATGCATTTTGCCTGCTTGTAGCTGCAAATTGTTGTTACTGACACAGCTATTGAGGAATGCCTCCATTTTGCTGGCCAATTCGGCATACATCAGACCCATTTCATCGGTCGGGAAGGTGGGTGGCATTTCCTGTGGTTTCGGCAGGAACAACGCTATATCACGATCGCTCATTATCTGGAAGCCTGGGATATTGCGAGCAAACTCGGCATAAACAGCAAACTGATTTGGTGGCACACCGCCCATTTTCAAACGAACCTGCTCGGGTAATCGTTCGGATTGATAGGCTAATGTTTGTGCATCGAAGTAACGGCTGTTTTCTTCACGGGCCATCTTACGTGTCTCGAAGTCGGCAGCCAAACGTCTATCAACTTCGGGAGTTGATTTTTCCGCAGCCGTCTTCTGTATGAAAGCACAGGCCAACTCAACATTGTCGTTGGTCAGCTGAATGGAGGCACCCTCGATTTCTTGGAATGAAGGTGGACCGGGCAGAGTTGTCATGAAGGCCTTACGCAGATTATTATTGAGCGTTTGCGTGATTTGATCCTTGCAAGTTATCATAGCCATACCAGCGGCTAAGTTGCGTACCATTTGATGGGCTGCAGTGCGCATGCGATGCTCTTCGGGATCGAGAGCGAAATCTTTACGTACAATTTGTTCTGTGGTGGAGGCGGCAATGCGAACACACCGATCAACTACAGGCTGTAGCCATTCGGTGATGGTTCTCTCAATGGCATTTAAGACCAAATGCTTGATGTTCGGGTTGACGTGAATGAAAGCAATGTTGGGGGACAGAACCACATGCTGGGCAATCAATTGGAAGTTGGTAACATTGATGTCGACGTATGAGAAACGTGGTTCTGGTGCGGGCATCATTATGGGACCAACTTGGTCTTGAGGAATGCTGGGTGATGGTATGCTGCCACCGGGCACAACTCCTCCTGGTCCACCTGAATTGGCCATCATCATTGCTTGAGCATCGGCCTCCGACATCATGGGATGCTGATGAGGTGGCGTGGGTGTTGGTTGCTGCGGCTGTGGTGGCTGTTGTTGCTGTTGCTGCTGCTGTTGTTGTTGCTGCTGAGATGGACCCGATTCCATGGCCTTCGATTTGGGTTGGCCCATTTGACTCTCAATCATGGCATAGCGGCCTGGATCTTTCAGATATATAACTGGCTTGAGCTTATTCAAGTCGATGTTGAGACTCTTGCACAACACCTCAATTTCGAATTTCAAATTCAACTTCAAATCAGGCTCCTGATGCAGCTCTCCCAGAACATTCATAATTGCCATGGTCCAGGGATTGGGTGATTTGAAAACCTTCGACTTGGCTGAGGATTCCAAGATTTTGGCCACAAACGGCACGACGTACAGCAGCTCCTGCTGTCCCTTGTGGTAGGCTTCGGCAAGCAGTGACTTCAAATCCAAGTCAATTTGTAAAATGGGTTTGTTGCGTGCCAAGGTCATCATACCCAGCCAGTGGCCAAGATTTTTAAGCAGACTGCGGTCAGAGAAATTGACCACACCCTTGTCAGAACGTAGTAGAACCTTGATGTTGCGAATGGTTTCTTTGGTCACGTATTTATTGATCTCCGGATTCATCAACGCTTCCAGGAAATTAAAGTAAAGCGTGTGGAAATTAAATTCCATTGAGGCTCTCTTGAGCACCAAATATTGTGACATCCAGGGCCAATATTCCTTGGTCATTATATCTTTGATCTCTTCGACCTTTTGCGGTATATTAAGCTGACTTAGATTGTTGAATATGAAGGCAGTCTTATCTTGAATGGCCTCGGGTGGTACGGTGATCTTTTCCTCCTGATTGGCCACCAACAGGGTGTCGATATTTGTGGCAGTGGCAATGGATTTCATGCGGGTTGGATGTGACATAACCATGGGTTTCTGTTGTGTGGGTGTGGTAACAATGTTTCCTACAAAATTCAGAGAAAACATTTAGAAACCAAAGAACCGCGTTGATGGTTATCAAATACTTACCTGTTACTGAGTTACTACGATAAATTGAATCTGGAGGTTGTTGACCAGCTGCCCCAGCTCCCATTAACATGAGTTTCGCTGGAGGTGGTTCCTGACCCAAAAAGCCATACTCCACATATTGTATCAAATGTGGAGGGAAGTCTTTAAAGTGCGGAATCGAGCGAATATATTCACAGTATTTGTTGTAGGTTGGTAGACGGGTCTTAAAGCGATCTAAGGCCGTAATACCAAAATAGTAGAGTTTCGAACCTTCGGTCTTACGCAGAGCATCGAGTACACAACGCAATGCCAAACCCAGTGCCACAAAAGTGGGCACCAAATTACGCTCGATAATACCGCCAAATAACTGGGCGGTGATTTGCAATTCCTTTTCCGGGTAGTGGGCAAAGAAACGATATTCCTCGAATAGATTGCGCAGCATGCATTGATAGACTTCTTGTTCTCGTCGAATATTGGACTCCTTGAAACGTTGCAGAATATCCAACACCTCATCTATGGACAGGGTAGGATGTGGTGGATGGTTGTAGATACGCTGGAAATATGAATTCGCCTCATCTTCGATTTCCTTGGAGACAGGTGCTTGAAAATCGGTCATAATAGCATTAGTGGGATTGGGCGGTGTTGGCGTAGGCTGGGGAGCTGCTGGTGGCATTCTCCCAATGCCACCCACTGTGGGAGGCGGTGCAGGCATTTGCATCGGATTCATGGGATACGGACTGGCAGCGGCTGGATTCATAAGGCGTGATGGTGATCCTGGTGTGGAAACTAAATTGTTGAGAACATTGCCAAAATTGAAGGCTCCATTCGGTCCACCCAAATTTAGGCCAGCTATATTTGTAGTCAGATTCGACAGAGTATCCATGGTGGGTCCAAACATTTGTTGAGCATTTAAATTGGCTGAGAAGGGTGGCGGTACACCACCGGGAACACCGCCCACACCTCCTACACCGGCGGCACTCATATCCAGACCACGATGGCCACGAAGGGCACTCTGATTCTGCACCAGAGGACCTTGTTGTACAGCAGCGGCGGCGCGTGCCTTGTTGGCCATTATGGAACAGTTTGCAGACATTTGCATGATCAGTTCGGCTATTTCGTGAGGTACATTGCCAATGCAGGCCTGCAGGCAAGACAGCATGGTGTTCACAGTCTCCGGTGGCAGTTGGGCTTGTTTGGGAGGTAATTGGTCATCGGGAATTTTTGCATTGGTAATTTGGGGACAACGCCTTTGCAAGCATTTCAGCATAGCCTGTATGAAGGGTTCGCCGTGTTCCCGAATCTTGTCACTTAACCATTTCTCCAGTTTCAAATATTCACGACGCGAAGCCAAACATGCCAAATCGATGACAAAGAGGAATGATCGGGCATTCAAGAGCGTTGACAATGCCTTGAGGTCCTGTGCTACATCCAGAATCCTTGACAATTTCACCTGATCATATTCTGTGCCACGCAAATACCACTCAGACATGGCATGCATTATGATGGGCCGTAGGGTCATGCCAAAGTTATTGGAATTCCATGCACTGGCCAATATCACGCCCGAGTTAATGTGATTTGCCAAAAATGTAGGTATTAGCTGACTGAACAGTTCCTGCCTGAGGGCTGTGAGTGGGGGATTTATGTGCAGCAGTGAAAGGAACAAAACATCCGGACAATGTTGGGCTGGGAACTTCAACAATTCATGGACTTGAGCATATAGACCATGTTCAGCTATGTACAGCAAGACTTCCACTAAATGCAACGACTTCCAGGCACACACTTCCTTGTTGTCATTGTCGGGCGGTGTTTTCAACATTTCCACGGGAGCGGGCGTGAATATGTAGTCGGCGAAGGAAAAGAGATCGGGATTCTTTAGCATCACAGCTATCAATGAGAACTGACCCTCGACATTTTGCCAATGACGATAAATGCATTCTGGATGTGGAAATAGATTTGACTGTGTGGCCAAACGGAATATGGTCAAGAGCAGATCAAGACCAATGCGATCTTTTATGATGAATTCGGGGTGATCGAGTTCCAGGCACACCTCCTTCCAATTCAATTGGGGTACTACCTCTTTGAGAGCTTGCACAAACACATCTGGTTTCCAGGCTTGGGTGGTATCTGTGCTGCCGGTACCTCCGGCCGAGTTATTGCCCCCAACCGTGGGCTTATCCTTTTTGTCATTGCCATTGTTGCTTTTATCCGTGTTACCGGTTGAGTTGTCATTGTTGTTGTTATTGGCATTCTGTTGTTGCTGTTGGGGATTGTTTTGGCCACCCTGTTGCTGGGGCCAAAAATTGGCTGCAGTCGGTAGATTTACATTGCAATCCAGCAAAGATGTGTGCCGACGACACATGAGGCCAATGATCTTGGCCACATCTTGAGGCTGTAAATCGCGCTGTTGACCACCTGTACCACCACCAGAGGCATTATTGCCGGCATTGCCAGCAGCCCCTGCTCCCGTACCACCGCCTACATTATTGGCTGTTGAACCACCACTGCGTAAATGATTTTTACACTCTTCAAGACTCGAAGTAAACTCATAACCGATTTCAAGGATTAAATTAATCCAAGATGTGTCCATAATATTATTGTAATCGTGTTGGGAAAATATGTTTTCGCACAAATTATCATAGATCTCTTCTATGGGTACTTCCGATATAAAGCCATTGGTGGTGTTGTTGATTGTTGCAGTTGGGTTGTTCAGTGATGACGATGAAGACGACGACACTGCCAATTCATCACCGGCTGATTTGATATCGAGATTAGAGGATATGGGTGCAGCAGCATACAAATATGGAGCTAAAATTAGTGGTACACGTTCGCGGGGAAATTCCTCCCTTAGTTTCTGTAAGAATTGTTCGCGTAAATTCTTATCCGCAACATACACATCCAAGCAGGTCAATAGGAGTTGTATTAGATCTAAGGATGCGTCATGTAAACTACTAATAACAGCAGCCGATTGCTGATTCTTCCCCAAATAGGATTCGATAAGTTCGGGTAAGGCTTTTCGCAGTTGGTCACGGGCACAAATGCGCAAATCCGAATGTGAGGAATGTGTTAGCGATAGACTAACAACACATTCGCATAATTTATTTATGCCAGTTATTCGAACAAGTTGATTTACAAAATGTACCGGAAATGTGGATTTGTTAAGACTCTGAAAGAGGGGAGGAGGAAAGAACAACAAAAATAACAAATTAACCAATGAACTTTGTTGTAATGTAAATACAGAGATTATCATATATGTATATCTCGTAACAAACAAACCTTCTGTTGTATCCAACAGCTATCGATGGCAAAGCAAATATTCGATATGTGCGCTGCCTTGTTTAGCTGTAATTCCAATTGGATTTGTAAAAGTTTCGCCAATAAAAGCTGTTGCTGTTGAACGTTCGATAATGATGACGTCGATGGTGAGTTGGTTGACGTTAATGCTGGGTCATTAAAACTGATGCTCGCAAATAGACAACGCAGACAATGACGATCCGCTTCTAAGCCAAATTCTTCAATTAACTGCAAGAAAGCGAGATAGATAAGAGAGAAACGAGTGTAAATATAACAAATGAAAATGAGAAAAATAATGTTTAGAAAACGGAGGAAAAAAAAACAATTAACACATTTCTTTGTGTAAACAAAGAAAAGCAAAAAAAAAAAAAATAATAATAATAATTGTTTTTTAATAACATTAATCGTAGTAGGTAGGTAGATATAGAAATGTATGTGGTTTGAGAAATTGTTGTGCCATAAAGGGAAATGTCGCAGTTATTGCTTCGGATCTTAGAATATAAAGTCTATAAATGAAATGAATTTGAAAAAAGTAGGTGAAGAGTAATGTGGGGCGGCAAAAGCTATAATAGATTATGAAACAAAACAAACAACAAATAATTATTGACTGGATAAACTGGTATTTTCTATAAGAGTGAAATTAGTTTTGAACCTTGTGATTAACTGGAAATAACTTTGAACACTTTGTGTTTTTAAATGGATGAAAATAGACCCGATTGATCGTTTTTACCACTCTACAGAGGGAAAGTTGGAATTATGTATTATGACAGTGTACCTTACTCAATGTTTGAAAGTATTGATCAAAGTTTGTCGCTGAGTTGAAAATCCCTGACAGCTTCGAACTAGGGTCGTTCCGGGTGTTGGGAATGAATGCCGATGACTGCACGGTTATTTCGCCCGGATTTCACATTGACGACGTAATTTCAAATAATATTTAGCAACCATCACAAACTTCTTCCCGGAGCGTAATCTAAAATTATCTTTAGTAACTTTAGTCCACATTTCGAAAATCTTTGGGGTGGTCTTCGATAACCTCATTCATTTCTTCTCAAATTCTAACTACATCAACCAGAAGGTTAAAGCTGGGAATAAAGTTCTAAATACTTTGGCTGGCACCTCCTGGGGCAGGGATAAAGAAACGTTGGTAACAACATACAATATCACAGGTCGTTTTATCCTTAATTATGCTGCCCCAGTCTGGACTTCTTTCCTTAGCGACACACAATGGAGATGCTAGCAAACTACACAAAATAATGCAGCACTTCGAATTGCAACCGGCTGTGTCCAGATGTTGACGAACGTCGATCACCTCCATGATGAGATTAGGATGCTGACAGTCGAGCAACATAATGTTGTTGTTGACTAGACAGTTCCTGCTGGCCTCCTAACCATCATAGAGTGATTGCAGATCCACCTCCTCGACCCATCCGTCAGAACTTCAGGCGCTGTCGTGAAGGCATCAAAGACGTCAACAGATCGTCGATAGCGAACGCAATGAACTGGCGGTGCTTACGAAACCATAAATGGCTACAGATGTAACAAAGTCCTACTCCAACATCCTGCAATTCTGACACCACTAAGATCCGGCTACATCAATATTCTCAATTCGTATCGAGAGCACATTGTCCCAGGAATATGAAATAGGTGTCCCTCCTTTAGCAAAGCCGCACGATATAAACTATCTGTTTAATTGTTTATCAGAGACTACAAGTCTATTGCCCATAAAGATGTGGCACAGTTTCTTCAGCTACCCTCTTCAAATCCTAATTAATACTTAATATATTTTCCATTTCATTGTTCTATTTTCTATCACCAATCTGTCTTTGTAATCAAAAAGAAACTCAGATACTATTTTTTACCAAAAATTTCTGAATAATCCTAAATCGAAAGGGTTGGACAAAGTATGTCTCTACAAAACACCATGGAGCAAAATGGATGTTCCCTTAGTAATACTAAAAAAATAAAAATGAATTAGTAGCCATAAACAATCGTTAATTCTAACTCTTACCAACAACACCCTGATTTACCAAAGTCTGAAAGGGCTTGGAAGAGTTAGTCTCTGGAAAACCTGATTGAACCAAATCAACACCTATGTATTTCCCAAACTAATTGGGTATACATACTCCTGGGACTTCATTCTGTATATCTACCGGTGCTCCAGGCTTCTGGAAACTTAATCGCAATGAAGGTGTTTCCCTGTGTTTTTAACCACCTTCAGTGGTATTATGCACAAAATATATCACATGACTAAAAAAAAAATATTTATTTTCAATAAATAAATTGCTATATAACACCTAAATACCTGTTATTATATTTAATAATTTCTTTAATCTGTCTAAAAGTAGCCATGACAATGACACTTCATTTATTAACACAAGAGAGGCTTGAGAAAAACCGCGCCAAAAATACCAATGAGAACTCACAAAGAAACTAATAAAATGCACTGTAGTGACAGAAAAATACACAATTTTTTTCTAATTTCTATAAAAATAATAAATTATATTGACTGAAATAAATACATTTTCACACAAAACAATTATTTTATTTTATATTCTTTTCTTTTTGTTTATTTCAACTGACACAACGAGTATGGCAACACTACTCTCAAGAGATTCAAATGAAACAACATCTCGCTCTCTTCCCCCATCTATGCAAAAACAACAATGTATGAAACTTCCAGTTCACAGATGTGAAACGGAAATATTACAAAGCAACGAAGAACGGCCAAGAAGAAGAAAAAACCTACACGAATACACACATAAACAACAAGACGACGTATTGAGACATATCACAAAGAGAGAGACAGCCATAGTCACAGTTACTGGCCTGCTCCATTTAATCATTTTTAATCATATGCGAAAAAAGGCACAAGCAACACCAAAAGAAGAAATGAGCAGAAAAAAACCAAACCACACAAAGAAAATTTGGAATTAAATGAAAAAAAAAACTACATAAAATACCTTTTATGAGCATCAATTAAAAGACAATTTGGTTTCACGAGATTTCTTCAAGACTTGATTACAATTTGACTTCTTGGGTGTTTCTTCTCGTTTTTTGTTTATTAAACTTCACTTCACACAACCGACGTCCAATGACTTTTCTATATTGCCTTCTTTTTTTGGTTTTTTATTTCTTTCTTTGCAAAAAATTGTTTGGAAAAATATACACTTTAATTTTTTAGACAAGGGGGGCAACCGAACACACACACACTCGTACTATAAAAGCGTATGCGATGAATTTTTTTCTGCTTGACCGTATAGCAAGAAAAAGAAAATGTACAGAAGAGATTCACAATTTTGTTTTACACAATTTTTCGCAGATATTTGATATTTTCACTGGGTTATTTTAATTGCACAATAAAGTGCTGCAGTAATTGAATATTTTTATGATATTCTACACAAAATCACTGAGGTTTTTATCAGATTAAAATCGTTTTGAAATTCTTTTGCTATTTTTTCGACAAACGACGACGACGACAAACCAGCAGAGAAAATTTTCTACAGAGCGTCGGCAAAAGTGATTGGTTATAACAGAGTTGTATTTTTTGGTATTAGGGTAGTAACTGTTTGGTGGATGGGAGAGGAATGAGAGAGAGAAAGAGAAAATAAGGGAATAATAGGGAAATGTTTTTTTATAATGGCGATGTTAACAATTGTTAGGGGGAAAATATTAAATAACTTTAGTTTTTAGAATAATTTCTTGTGGTTTTTTGGACAATTTAATATTAAATTAATATATTTCAAAATGAATTCATTTCTACGTTATTTGTACATCTCTGCAAACACAGCAAATATGTAATGTTGCCAGATTGTAAAGGTTGATGTGTGTGGCAAGGGGAAGTGTATAATTTTAGGGAAAAACAATATAGGGAAAAATTACAATTTCGATTAAGAGAATTTCTTGCAGCACAAACATATTTCAGGAATCTTTAGGGTAATTTTTCAAACTTGGACTGAAAAAAAAAATACAAAATAAACGATAATGTAGAAGTCCTCTTTTGCGAATACATCTCTTGGAATTTTTTAGATTAAATGAAAAATGAAATTTAAAAATGCTTTGAAGTTTGTTACTTAGAATTCAAAATTTATATTAAGATATACACTGTATAGCTTTAAGTTACGTTTTATAATGCGAAGTAAACGTTTGTAGATTTGTGGCATGTTGCGTTATTTATTGGCCAGATGGCTTTTTTAAAATACTTCAATTACAATTTTGTAAAATAACTTTGCTTTGCGTGTAAAATATCAAAAACCAAATTGCGATCCTGTAAAAACGACGGTTAGACTTGATTTAGATTAGGCGAGTTTACTTGCGGCAATTCTTGTCGTTCTCTTTTGAACTTGCTTCATGCGTCTATACAAGGCAATTCGGTTTCCAATATATGTTTCTATTTGTTGTTTTTTCACATTTAAATATATATAAAACGTCAACAAATACGAAATACACAAAATGAATTGCCAGAAAATTGTCGGTACGAGCAATTTTTTTCATTTCTATTAACCTTGCCCCTCTCTCCTACAAACAAAGACTTGCCACAAGTAAACTCGCCTAATCTAAATCATGACTTAATCCAAATCAAAATTTGGAATGTTTTTTCTATTCCAAAGTGGGTATTTTAAAATTCCCTCAAAAATTTAATTAGACGGAAATTGCCTGATATGGCATGTCATCTACATTGCATTCATACAAAGGTGTAATTTTTGGTATCATATTTCTAATCAACTGTGAAGTATTTTGTTACAGATATCAAATATGTTTTTTTATACAAAATAGAATTATTATTTTGATTATTATCATTTGCAATATTAATAAAAATTTAATGTCTTTGTGAACAAATTGTTGTAATTTTCTCTTTTGTGTTAAGCTGTGTTTAGACGTCACAGTGACTAGGCAGGTATCTGATGTGTGTTCAATAAACACAAATAAACGTAGTTACCAAATTTGCCTGGGCGGTAGTAGTTGATAAATGTGGTACATATACGATTTTGGACTTCTTTTTTTGTGGGAATTATATACTAAAATGAACATTATTAAACACTAAAAAAAATGTTAAATTTTTTAAATATGTTTTCGTTATTTTGTTAATTGAAGAGAGGGAAATTATACAATCTAATTAACCAATAGTAAATAATAATTTCTTTCGTATCAAACTATCGATTATATGGACATATCAATTGGATTTTACTTATTTTTTAATATTAAAACAAATATTCTAAATAACAAAAACTTCTAAAACCAAAAACGAAATTTTTACAAAAAGCCTCAAAGTATGCAATGTTTTATAAACTAATTTATAACCCCTAGGATGAGGACCAAAGAATTCAATAAGATACAAAAATACTACGGATAGTAATTCGGACTGAAGAGATAAATTTACGTTAAAAAGAGGGAAAAAAATTCTTGGAAAAATACGGATAGTAGCCTCAAAATTTCAAATATGTTATTTGTGGAATGAAATGACAAATTATTGTTGGTACGTATACCCCTATTTGAATGAGATCACGAACAGAGTCTTGAATTAACTGGAAATGTGTGGTTGCAGCCAGTGGAAGTAGCTGAAATTTTTAGCATACAAACAAGAAGAACAATATTATTGTGGCTGAATTTGTACATTATCAAAAAGGAAAACACTGAAAGTGTAGCCAACTAACTCAGCCTTCTTTTCTAATGAAATCCTGAAGTCATTTAACGTAACACCTCGGTCGTTAAAAATTGTACATTGAATTTTTAAAATTTTTATACCCTCAGCCTTGTGGTTAATGAGGGTATATACACTTTGATACGGTGAAAATGTGCCTCATCGAAATATTGGTATTTGGACCAAATCCGTTTCAGAAAATTTGGAGTCGATTTACACATGTCCTTCCGGTGTCCGTCTGTCTGGCTGGTGCGCACGATAATTCTCGAAGGTAGCAACCGATTTCATTCAAACTTTGCACATCATAATATTTCTTTCAAACTTAGTTATGTTCGAAGATGGGGAATATCGGTCCACGCCTTCTGGTACCTCCCCGACAAAATCGTTAAAATTGTGCTAAAAATGAATTTTATAATGTCATGAAAACGAACAATCCGATTTAAACGAAACTTTGTACAACATATTATCTTTAACAAGCCTAGATCAAATTTAAAGATGGGACCCATTGGTCCACTCTTTCTGGTACCTCCCACACACAGAGAGCAAAAAATTTTAATATTTATAATACCAATATCAAGCTAGTGAAGAATGTCCGTTTTGAACCAAACTAGCACAACCTTTTATCTTTACCAAGCCTAGATCAAGTTTGAAGATTGGATCCATTGGTCCCATCTTTCTGGTACCTCCTCCCCCACAAAATGGTAAAAATTGTGCTAATAATTAATTTTAAAGTAACATGCAAACGGACTATCCGATTTTAATGAAACGTTGTACAATCTATTATCTTTACCAAGCTTAGATCAAGTAGGAAAATGGGACCCATTAGTCCACTCCTTCTAGTACCTTCCCCACAAATAGTCAAAATTTGTAAATCAAATATAAGGCGGATGGAAGGTCCGATATGGACCAAACTTTGCACAACCCATTATCCTTACAAAGTCTAGATTAAGTCCGATGATGGGACCCCTTGTTCCACTCCTTCTGGTACCTGCCCCACAAATTGTCAACATTTTCAATATTAGTAAATCCAATATAAGGCGAATGGAATGGTAAAAATTGTGCTAATAATTAATTTTAAAGTAACATGCAAACGGACTATCCGATTTTAATGAAACTTTGTACAACCTATTATCTTTACCAAGCTTAGATCAAGTAGGAAAATGGGACACATTGGTCCACTCCTTCTAGTACCTTCCCCACAAATAGTCAAAATTTGTAAATCAAATATAAGGCGGATGGAAGATCCGATATGGACCAAACTTTGCACAACCCATTATCCTTACAAAGTCTAGATTAAGTCCGATGATGGGACCCCTTGTTCCACTCCTTCTGGTACCTGCCCCACAAATTGTCAACATTTTCAATATTAGTAAATCCAAAATAAGGCGAATGGAATGTCTGATTTGAACCAAACTTTGCACAACTCATTATCTTTACGAAGTCTAGATTAAGTACGAAGATGGGATCCAGTAGTCCACACCTTCCGGTACCTCCCTCACAAATGGCCAATACTTTATAAAATTTTACCAACATTAAATCCGAAACCTCTTTGATAAAAACATTTTTCTTATATGAAGCTAATAATACAATCTTTGTGTAATTCCGAAGACCTCAGCAAACCATAATAAGCTAAACATTAATAAGCATATACTAGCTGAAATAACATTGCTACATGTCGTATTCAATTTGTATAAATCCACGAAACTGTCACCACTTCCGATTATTACAGGCCTCTTGTATGTAGGGGAAAAATAACAACACAAAAAATGCAAGGATCCCAATAGTCACTGCCTAAATCAGGATACATTGGTCCTGGGCAACGATGGATGGCAGCCCTATCAATCAGGACATGTTATAGCAGCCCAATAATTTGTTATCCCTAGTGTCAAAGCATGGCCCTAAATTTTAAAGAGTAAAGAGTCTTTTAATCGCTTATATAGCGAAATGCCCATTTATAGCGACTTCGTTGGTCCCATGAGCATTTCATTCCAAGCAGCTGGGGTGCAGTAGCAAAGAATTTGCAAAAATTTTGATTAAAACATAATTTTTTTATGAATAGGCATATATTACCTGGCCATAGGCAATAAAATTCAAGCCCTGTACAATGACTGTTAATTTAGATAATCTTTATTTTATCGAAAATATCTGTCAAAAATATTTTGGCTACGCAAGAAATTTAGCGTAGACATAATATTTTGTATAACAGCGTTTTCGGAATGTGCTGTCAATATATGCCCCTATTGGAAGAATAATATTGGTGTCTTAAGTAAAATATATCCCCGAACCTTCAACGCCCCTATTTCCCCTAAAAATGACTGTACTAAACTCAAAATTACTAAAATCAATTTCAATAGAGTATTGTCCGATTTATCCAATATAAATAAAGAAGGGAACTGGAATTTGATGTGCTTGAGCATAAGTAATGTATGCTTCAGATTTATAGCGGGTACATCCATATGGAGTTCCTCAAGAAACAAAGAATATCGTTTTAATCAGGGCCCCTGGACTACTTATGGCAAAAATATTTTAAAACTTAAGCCATATAGTGATTACAGAGGAGTTTTAACAAGACAGATATATTGAAAATGCCGTCACAGCATTACCCAGGATTAATCACCACTATAAATATTTACTTCTTATCAGTCAGGTGTTCTTATCATGTTTCTTTAAAGGGTATCCTTTAAAAATTATTTATTTTTTTTTTTGAAAATTGATCCCCCAAACAATTTCTCTACCCATATCTTCTTAGGTTTGTCTGTCCATTTTCAGATAAGGAATAACAAACACGTGATAACAGTTACTTTGTAATACGATGACACATTCGAAGACACTATGAAAAACATAATAACATTAATTTTTTGTTTATATTAAAAATAATAAAGAAAAACAATCATCAACGACTACTTCCCCTCTTCTTCTTCATCTCTACGAAATACAACTTACCTTATTTAGATTCTCAGTTGTTTCGGCAAAATTTTTCTTATTTAAATGTTTGACCAAATTACCAATCTGCGTCAGCGTCAATTTCAGATGGTCTAGGTTCATAGCTCTTCCATTCAAGGTGGAACGGCGTTACAGCAGCAGCACGACGGGTCAGTCAGTCACTTTGTTGTGGGCAGGATCTTTTGTTTGTGGGCAAATTTTTTTCGATAGAAACCTAAAAAAATCGTAGATTTTTTTTTTAAGTTTCACGAAAAAAATTTCACTGACAAGAGATCAGAGACGACACAACAAAAATAAACGACTCAGCGGCGACAGCGCACGAACCGATACAAGGTAAAAAATAAAAAAAAAATAACTAATCGATCGAGAGAGAGAATGAAAACTTAAAAAACACACAATCGAGGAAAACACGCGCTTGGGGCGGCGGTGGGGTTTTGGTGTTTTTTGTTGTTGTATTATTTGTTGCTGGTCTGACGACGACGGTGATGATGATCGTGTTGAAGAAGAAGCAGCCAAGAGAATACTACTCACAATAACACAACGTCAAATTGAATTAAGAATGAAAGTGACGTCGTTGTGGTTCTTTCTTTCTTTTTGTATGTCCGTCTGTCCGGTAGAACTGATAAAACGCAACACGATTTGTTTGTTGGTGGTGTTGTTGTTGCGAGTTTTCCTGGGATATTGTATGAAAGAAACACGTTGGCTGTAAGGCGTTCAGGGGCGGGCGGCTATGTTCGGATCAATGCAGCAGTTAGTTTTGTTAGTTAACAGTTTTTTGGGGAACTTTGTTGTTGTTGTTCCTTCTCCTTTGTTGTATAATTGTGAAGAGCTTTTGATTGCTATTGACGTTGCTGTTGTTATTTTTGATTTGACACAACACCTCTTTTCCCTTTCAGAGACAGAGAGGGTAGACAGGCTGGCAGATTTGACTGACGGGATGGATGCAATTTAGGCGAATATTTATTTGTTTTTTTTTTTTTTTTTGGAAAATTTGTTTTGTTGTTTCTGTGGTCACCACCCGAAATGCTGGGACATGTGTGTGTCCGTGTGTGTGGTATGTAGGCACCAATTAGAAAGACGCAGAATGAATGACCCCCTTTTTGACGTTTCGCTCTCTCTCACGTTGGGTGTTTTGCGGTCACTGCTGCTGTTGTTGTTATTCAAGGGGGAGCATCAATTTTTAATTAATAAAAAAAAAAAAATAGAAAACAAAAAAGTGTGGCAACTTGGAATTCAGTCGGTGAGGAACTGACACACAACACCATTCATTCATTAATGTATTTTTGTCCAAATTGGAATTCCTTAGCGAATTTCACCGGGATCTGGCCCCCTATTGTAGGGGCCAATGTGGAAATCTTGTTTTCGATTGTGGACACACAAAACACAACTCGAACACTGCCAGGAGGATCGTTGCTGCCACAGAAAATGCATATGAATTGCCTTGGTGCCACCAACTACCAGTGTTTTGTTTTTCTCCTTGGAGCCTTCTTTCGGTTTCTTGGCCACTCTTGTCGTAATGGCCTGTGTTTGCCTTGTTGGCCTGTGCTTAATAAAAGTGGGGGATCGTTTCGACTCTTGCCTAGAGAAATTTCATTACATTCGCATTTTATCACGTATCAGCAACCGCACCGTACCGTATTGTCTTTATTTGTTTCACTTCTTTCAATAGTATTATTACGTTAGCTAATGCCGCGCCGTTGGCCAATCGAACCCCTCTTCATTCACTCACTAGATCCAACGACGAACGAAGATGGTTATGGGGTCTTTGTTGTATGTTGGCGCTGTCAACGTTGCCTTTTTTTGTTGGGGTTTCTTTTTCTGATCGATTTTCTATCACAAAATATTTTTACGTATCCACTTCACTTACGAAATATCTTTGCCTCTTCTTCTTCCTCTTGCAGTGGTTTTTCTTTGTTTTGTCCACAGTATTTTACAAAAAAATATATCCGTTCTGGATTGAAAATTGCTCGTTTATTTTTTCTTTTCCAATTGTATGGAAATTGGATCGCGTAGTTTTTTGCTTTTTTTTTTAGATTGTAAAAAAATAATAATAAATTTTCTAGTTCGTATTGTTGATTGTTCGTCTCGTTATTGTCTTTTTGTAGGGTGCTATAAGTCGACTTTGTACTTATCGTATTGTGGTAGGCAAACTTGAGGATAGAAATCGAGTTATCGATTGTTGTTGACTGGGCCTTTTTTTGAGCGACTCGATAAATATAGCTGAGTTTGTTTTGTAAAGAAATAAAGAGAAATCTTGCTGATCTAATAAATGATCTCTTCCCGTACTGCAAGAAACTACTGGATTTCACTATTTTCTTCGATAGCATAAGGAAAAATTCGTTATCGTAGTAAAAAGTAGTAGTAAATTCTTGCAGTACGGGAACAGACCAAAAAATTAATGAACCGAGCTTACAAATGTAATCGTCGTTTATGTTATCAGTACGCTTTTATTATATGGCAAATAAATGTCAATTTACGTAAAATATCCACAGGATTTATAAAAATAAATTTCTTGACGTATACTCTGGCCCAAGATCTATTAATGAGGTCACCAAGATAGCAATCGAAATCGGAAAACAGCTGTTTTTTCTCAAGTCTAATGTCAAAAATTTCGACTTTGTTCACGTTTTCATAATGAAAGTCAATTCACAATAATGCATTTTGACAACAAACTTGAGAGGTATCGATAATCAGCTGGTCTCCCTTGGTGACCTTATTTATAGGCCATGCTCTGGCCCAATCAAGATATATTAATAAGGTAACCCACATGGCCTATAAATAAGGTCACCAAGGGAGTTCGTTCTTGGGACGGCTCAGAAGAAAGACACATTTTAAAGAGATAATAACGTCTACGGGCATAAAAAAGTTACAAAATGACGCTGTGTTAAGCTTTCGCTTAAATTGCCACGTGTTTTATCTACCGAACCTGGTGACCTTATAGGTTTTGAATTTCACTAATTAACGAAAATATTCGATAAGTTAACGACTAAAATAATGTTGTTGTAAAGCTCTACAAATTTTACCAAAATGTTTTATTTAAACATGAAAAATAGTTTTTTTTTTTTTATCGATACTCTTAATATAAATCGCATGATTGCTTTACAAAAATTGGAGGCCAATTTTTGAAATCAATATGAAATTTAAATAAATTTTATTGACAACTTAAATTAATTATGAAGTAAAACTTAAGATTATATAACACTTAGTATTAAATTTGGAGGAATTATTGAACCTTTGATTCTTTCGGGAGTTTAGAAACTGCAAATAAACAAAAAAATATTAATTCTGGTTATAATTATAATATAGTAATAATTGACAACTATTACCTGAAGCTTTTGATTTGTTTCTCGTTTGTAATGCATCGAAAAATTGTGCAAACGGATATTCTATCAAGAGGCAAGCAAAAAATGCTACGATCAGGGAAAATACAATGGTAATCATGCCTTGGGAATTCTATAATGAAAAGTTAAAAAAGAACACATCAGGTATTGAATGAAATAGGAACAACTGGATTTATATATTTAGAGGATCAGTCGAGAAATTCTGTTACAATTGGTATATTCCCGTACTGCAAGAATCTACGAATTTTTAATATATTTTTCGATATCATAAAGGAAAATATGTTATCGTAGTAAAAAGTAGTAGATTCTTGCAGTACGGAAACAGACCAAATTTGAAGAAATAAATACTGAAATGTCTTGTTAAATTGAATCGACATTTGGGATCAAGTGGGTTTCGTAAATCTAAACGTGCTTTAATACTTACAAAATACCACGTATTCATGTAGTAAGGCTCCCTCTGATAACCATTTAACAATTGCAGAATCATAACATGCCATAAATACATTTGAAATGATAGACGGGCCAAGACCCTAAATATGGGTAGGCGGCAAAAATCATAGGCCATCACTGGACAGATAAAATAGTAACAAATTAAAAATTAAAGCCATAAAATAATGTTCAGATGTCGGATAACTTACTTCCCCCCTTGCACGCCATGCCCAACAGAGGAAATCCACACACGAATATTATCCATAGATTACGATATAGGCCACTGTACAGTGCCGTCCATATAGAGGGTTTTTGAAATATAGCCACGGAACCCACATAACAAATACCAGCAGCTATTGCCAATGCGGACCAAGCACCCACTTCATATTTTAAATGGCCACGTACTTGACGTCGGATTTCTTCTTTGCGTAATTTACGCAGATACAGATCTCCACACCATATCCCAAAGAGATAACCACCTAAATTTGTAAACGAGGGTGTATATAAATAATAGAAGACATCGGCATCTATGAAAAATTGATAACGATAACTTCTGCAAGGGAAGGGAAACAGAATAAAAGAAAATTAATTGCATTTCTTTGTTGTGTATTTAATGGACTTACTCTGGTTTTATAATAAATGCCGATTCTAATTTTAAAATATAGCCAATAATTGTTGGTATTGCCACAGTTAAAATGGCCAAGGTGTAGAGAACACGTTTCTTATATTGCGGGTATCTGCAAAATAAAAGAAAAACTTTTTACTTGAGAAATTTGGCCGAGTAAAAATGGTAACCTATGAAATTCCTATGTAATTGAATGATTTTCGTAGTCTAAACATGCTTTAATTATTTATGAACACATTTAAATTAGAAAAAATCAGCTGATTTGAACATATGATTATGAAACATATGCTATGTTCCAGAACCTGCAAGAAACGACTATTTATCGATAAAGTTAATAGATCACAAAGCAAGCTAAAGTAAAATGTTTTTTCTCATGTCTAATTTTAAAAAAGGACGTTTTCATAATGGAAGACAATTCACAATAATGGATTTTGACAGCAAACTTGGAAAGAAGCTTATCTGCATTGAAAACCTTATTAACAGGCCTTGTTATCGATTTATATACCCTCCAACAAGGATTATTAATAAGGTCTTCCAGGGACATCAGCTTATTGGAAAATTGATTTCAATTCTGAAAATATAAACAAAGCCCACATTTTTGACACACGACTTGAGAAAAAAACAGCTGACTTTCCCTTGCTGGATGACCTTATTAATAGATCTTGTCAGGGTCTATAAATAAGGTTGCACTCAAGGCCTATAAATAAGGTCACCCAGGGAGACCAGCTGAATAACCGATGCCTCTCAAGTTTGCTGTCAAAACCCATTATTGTGAATTGACTTCCATTATGAAAACGTAAACAAAGTTCAAATTTTCGACATTAGACTTGAGAAAAACAGCTGACTTTTGCTAGCTGTGTGACCAAGATCTATTAATAAGGTCACCCAAGTAGCAATCGAAATCGGAAAACAGCTGTTTTTTCTCAAGTCTAATGTCGACTTTGTTTACGTTTTCATAATGTAAGTCAATTCACAGTAATGCACTTTGATAGCAAACTTGAGTGGTAGCTGATATCCAGCTGGTCTGCCTGGATGACCTTATTTATAAGCCTTGGGAAAACCTTATTAACAGACCTTGTTATCGATTTATGTACTCTCCAACAAGGATTATTAATAAGGTCATCCAGAGAGACCAGCTGGATATCATTTACTTCTCAAGTTTGCTGTCAAAATCCATTATTGTGAATTGACTTCAATTATGAAAACGTTAACAAAGTCCAAATTTTTGACATACGATAAAAAACCAGTTAACTTTCCCCTGCTGGGTGACCTTATTAATAGATCTTGCCAGGGTCTATAAATAGGGTTACACAGTTACTAATCGAAATCGCAAAAAAGATGTTAAAAATGGGTCGGTAGGACGTTTTTACAACGATATTAAGAATTTTAAAGTTCGTTTGTAATTTCTGATACTTACTTTGAAATAAATATTAATACCAATGTATAGAAGGCGAATAATTGAAAATCGGCCGCAAGATACCAAGTATGGGAACTAACCTAAAAAATAAGAAGAGAATTTAAATGTTTAAAACTTTTTTTATTTTAATAAAAACATTATCCTTGTACTTACTGTATTCTTTTGCGAAAAGTTATTAATCATAAAAACATTCTTCCACCAACTTTCACGGCTAAAAATGCGACTTGGTTCGGTGACATGGCGCCAAAAGGGACCATCATTTAATTTGCCAAACACAGTGGCATTTATCCAAACCACCAGGGCCACAGAGGGAAGGAATCTAAAAATAAGAAAACGTAAATTCAAATTATTTTTATTTTTCAAAATATATATGTAGATATCTAACCGCACCTCATCAACCGACTTATAACAATAAACAGATATGTCTGAATACATTTCTTCCAACTGGTACGCGGGGTAATATATCCCCCTTCTGTGAATTTCACATAGAGCAGTAAACCACTCATTACCATAAATATTTCAATAATTGTTGAGGAGTTCAATATCATTAGACCCCGCGTTGTTTCACCAAAACTCTCAAAATATTCGGGATTTCGAATATGTTGGAATTGCAAATAGAAGGTGTGACCATGCAGTACCATCAGAGTGCAAACCGAACGAAATCCGTCCAAGTAAGAGAAATCATTGCCAATTTCACCACGATATGGTTGAATGAGACGATAGTAGTTACGGCATATTGAAAAGGAGGTCAATAGGCGGGATACTATGAGGGAAGAAAGAAAAATATAATTGATTATTAGTTTCAATACCATTTTTATATTTGCGTCATCTTATTACTTACATGGTTGATCAAGATTATTCTTATAAAATTCATTGGTTTGATTTTCTTCCGTTTGACTAGCCCTTAGAACATAATCATCAATGCTGGACATGATCACCAATAGCAGAACAATTTTTAGGAATTTATATAAAATTATTTCAGCAGGGTCTGAAAGAAAATAATGAATAAAAAAATATTATGTATGTATATATGTAAAGAAAATTGAAATAAATATAAAACGACGACATGCCGAACTTTTTATATCCTCCAGCATGAGATGAACATTCAAATTCCCTAAAATCGATGGGATTTTTTATACGGTGTCTATGACAAGGTTAATTGCTGTCAGGAGAACACGAAATACCAATCTACAGGCGATAAGGATGGGAAATTGGACTAGGACCTTTAACATATTGAACATGACCTCTTAATGAGGGATATGTAGAAAAGAAATAGGGATCTTTCCTAAACGGCATGACAAATTTATATATCCCCAATTCATGATACTCCTTACCATACTCCGAAGAATTATTTTCTGCTGGCCTCTCACAATATTCCACAAAAGTATTTAAATGCAGGCCATATTTCCCTTCAAATTCCGCATTTAAACAACTTTGTATTGCCGCGCCATATTTGCTGCGCATTTCCAGATCCAATGGCCGTTTGTGAACATCCTCAATAAATTGGGTTATCTGCAGAAGGAGAAAAAACAAACAAAAATTAGAAAGGATTATGAAATATATATTTAATAACGTACCTCCTTATTTAATTCCGTATCGAGGGTGTAGTTGTTATTACTATCCTCCCAGGACTCCAAAAAACCTCTGCATTTTTCCAAACACACTCCAAAGTAGAGACGATCATGATGATAATGAAATATATTCTCTTTGTGATTGGCAATTTTATGCCATAAATCGGAAGAGTTGTCAGGTTGAATCTCAGCATAAATCATACAATAGGTAGAGGAGGAGGAGTGGTGATGAGCATTATCATTATCCATACACAGATCGTAGTTGTCGAAGGAATACAATGGTGGCAATTCATGGCGGGAATCTGGAACGGAGAAAATCTTTAATAAATTTTCGGCGTATAGGAGACCAGGAAAAATCTTCTTTAATAAATTTTCGGAGTATAGGAGCCCAGGAAAAATATTCTTTAATAAATTTACGCCTCAGTTGGCCCTTGAAAAATATTCTTTAATAAATCCACGCCTCAGTTGGCCCTTGAAAAATATTCTTTAATAAATTTTCGGCGTATAGGAGCCCAGGAAAAATCTTCTTTAATAAATCCACGCCTTATAGGAGCCCAGGAAAACTATTCTTTAAAAAATCCACGCCTTATAGGAGCCCAGAAAACTATTCTTTAAAAAATCCACGCCTTATAGGAGCCCAGGAAAACTATTCTTTAAAAAATCCACGCCTTGGATAGGCCTTGGAAAACTATTCTTTAAAAAATCCACGCCTTGGATAGGCCTTGGAAAACTATTCTTTAAAAAATCCACGCCTTGGATGGGCCTTGGAAAACTATTCTTTAAAAAATCCACGCCTTATAGGAGCCCAGGAAAACTATTCTTTAAAAAATCCACGCCTTATAGGAGCCCAGGAAAACTATTCTTTAAAAAATCCACGCCTTATAGGAGCCCAGGAAAACTATTCTTTAAAAAATCCAAAACTATTCTTTAAAAAATCCACGCCTTATAGGAGCCCAGGAAAACTATTCTTTAAAAAATCCACGCCTTATAGGAGCCCAGGAAAACTATTCTTTAAAAAATCCACGCCTTATAGGAGGCCTTGAGAACTATTCTTTTAAAAATCCACGCCTTATAGGAGGCCTTGATAACTACTTTTTAAAAAATCCACGCCTTATAGGAGGCCTTAAGAACTATTCTTTAAAAAATCCACGCCTTATGGGAGCCCAGGAAAACTATTCTTTAAAAAATCCGCGCCTTATGGGAGCCCAGGAAAACTATTCTTTAAAAAATCCGCGCCTTATAGGAGCAAAGGAAAACTATTCTTTAAAAAATCCGCGCCTTATAGAAGCAAAGGAAAACTATTCAATCCACGCCTTATAGGAGCCCATGAAAACTATTCTTTAAAAAATCTACGCCTTATGGAGGTCCTTGAAAAAATATTCTTTAAAAAATCTACGCCTTATGGAGGTCCTTGAAAAAATATTCTTTAAAAAATCCACGCCTTATGGAGGACCTTAAAAAAATATTCTTTAAAAAATCCACGCCTAATGGAGGACCTTGAAAAAATATTCTTTAAAAAATCCACGCCTTATGGAGGTCCTTGAAAAAATATTCTTTAAAAAATCCACGCCTAATGGAGGACCTTGAAAAAATATTCTTTAAAAAATCCACGCCTTTTAGGAGCCTTCAAAAAATGTTCTTTAAAAACTGCACGCCTTATGGAGGTCCTTGAAAAAGTATTCTTTAAAAAATCCACGCCTTATAGAGGTCCTTGAAAAAATATTCTTTAAAAAATCCACGCCTTATTGAGGTCCTTAAAAAAATATTCTTTAAAAAATCCACGCCTTATGGAGGTCCTTGAAAAAATATTCTTTAAAAAATCCACGCCTTATGGAGGTCCTTGAAAAAATATTCTTTAAAAAATCCACGCCTTATGGAGGTCCTTGAATTAATATTCTTTAAAAAATCCACGCCTTATGGAGGTCCTTGAAAAAATATTCTTTAAAAAATCCACGCCTTATTGAGGTCCTTTAAAAAATATTCTTTAAAAAATCCACGCCTTATTGAGGTCCTTTAAAAAATCCAAGCCTTATGGAGGTCCTTGAAAAAATATTCTTTAAAAAATCCACGCCTTATTGAGGTCCTTTAAAAAATCCACGCCTTATGGAGGTCCTTGAAAAAATATTCTTTAAAAAATCCACGCCTTATGGAGGTCCTTGAAAAAATATTCTTTAAAAAATCCACGCCTTATTGAGGTCCTTTAAAAAATCCACGCCTTATGGAGGTCCTTGAAAAAATATTCTTTAAAAAATCCACGCCTTATTGAGGTCCTTTAAAAAATCCACACCTTATGGAGGTCCTTGAAGAAATATTCTTTAAAAAATCCACGCCTTATGGAGGTCCTTGAAGAAATATTCTTTAAAAAATCCACGCCTTATGGAGGTCCTTGAAAAAACATTCTTTAAAAAATCCACGCCTTATGGAGGTCCTTGAAAAAATATTCCTTAAAAAATCCACGCCTTATGGAGGTCCTTGAAAAAATATTCTTTAAAAAATCCACGCCTTATGGAGGTCCTTGAAAAAATATTCTTTAAAAAATCCACGCCTTATGGAGGTCTTTGAAAAAATATTCTTTAAAAAATCCACGCCTTATGGAGGTCTTTGAAAAAATATTCTTTAAAAAATCCACGCCTTATGGAGGTCCTTGAAAAAATATTCTTTAAAAAATCCACGCCTTATGGAGGTCCTTGAAAAAATATTCTTTAAAAAATCCACGCCTTATGGAGGTCCTTGAAAAAATATTCTTTAAAAAATCCACGCTTCTTATGAGCCTTGAAAAAATATTCTTTAAAACAATCTAGGACTTTTTTACACAAACACACTAACACTTCATTTCAGCACCAACATATCCTTGAATACATAAAAATGCCACCAAAACTATCCAACATTTCAAAGCCGTTGCCAGACTCATGTTTTTCTGCTGAAGGTTTCCTCTGGTATCTGATGCGGAACTCTATCCAACTGACTCATTTGAATTATAAAATATAACTGATTGTAATGGGGGGATACAATTCATAATAAGAACACTATTATTAGTAAATGAATCAATCGATCGAATCGAATTAACGCACTACAGCGCAGGCTGTGCATATGTAGTGGTGATTATAAAACTTAGTCGTTTTATTCTGGACCTAGAGGATTAATATTAGTGTAGTGTTTGATTAGTTGCTGGCTGAGATGCTGATGTGGTCATAAAGATTGACGTCAGCCACCTATGCCATTAGAAAAGTCTGGAGATTTGTTATGATTTGTGATCCGTCTTAAAACTGGAAATAGTTAATAATTAACCTGTCTCTGACAGTTACATCGGCAATGTTGTAATATAAGAATAAAACGTTTAATTATTCGTTTATGTAATTTGTTTCCTAACTAAATTATAAAAGTGGAAATTTTTTTAGAAACAAAAAGTTTGAAGTGCAGTTGAATTAAAAAAAAATTACGTCTATTAGACAAAATTACGTCTATTAGACAAGCCGGAAATAGTTTGAAGGCTAGGGTTACACAATCTAATAGAGTAATGAATTTGTTAGCGTTTCGATTTTTTTTAACATATTTTTAAAGATCCGTAAGAGGCATAGATTTTTTAAAGCATATTTTTTCAAGGCTCTTATGGATTTTTTAAAGCATCCTGTAAGGCATAGATTTTTTAAAGAATATTTTTGGATTTTTTAAAGAATATTTTTTCAAAAGGCGTGGATTTTTTAAAGAATTTTTTTTTTCATGGACCTCCATATGGCGTGGATTTTTTAAAGAATTTTTTTTCAAGGACCTCCATAAGCCGTGGATTTTTTAAAGAATATTTTTTCAAGGACCTCCATAAGGCGTGGATTTTTTAAAGAATATTTTTTCAAGGACCTCCATAAGGCGTGGATTTTTTAAAGAATATTTTTTCAAGGACCTCCATAAGGCGTAGATTTTTTAAAGAATATTTTTTCAAGGACCTCCATAAGGCGTGGATTTTTTAAAGAATATTTTTTCAAGGACCTCCATAAGGCGTGGATTTTTTAAAGGATATTTTTTTCAAGTATCTCCATAAGGCGTGGATTTTTTAAAGAACATTTTTTTCAAGGTCCTCCATACGGCGTGGATTTTTTAAAGAACATTTTTTTTCAAGGACCTCCATAAGGCGTGGATTTTATAAAGAATATTTTTTTCAAGGACCTACATAAGGCGTGGACTTTTTAAAGATCAATTTTTTCAAGGACATCCATAAGGCGTGGATTTTTTAACGAACAATTTTTTCAAGAACCTCTATAGGGCGTAGATTCTTCAATGAATGGATTTTTTAAAGAACAATTTTTTCAAGGACATCCACAAGGCGTGGATTTTTTAAAGAACAATTTTTTCAAGAACCTCTATAGGGCGTAGATTCTTCAATGAATGGATTTTTTAAAGAATAATTTTTTCAAGGACATCCATAAGGCGCGGATTTTTTAAAGAACAATTTTTTCAAGAACCTCTATTCTTCAATGAATGGATTTTTTAAAGAACAATTTTTTCAAGGACATGCATAAGGCGCGGATTTTTTCAAGAACCTCTATTCTTCAATGAATGGATTTTTTAAAGAACAATTTTTTCAAGGACATCCATAAGGCGCGGATTTTTTAAAGAACAATTTTTTCAAGAACCTCTATTCTTCAATGAATGGATTTTTTAAAGAACAATTTTTTCAAGGACATCCATAAGGCGCGGATTTTTTAAAGAACAATTTTTTCAAGAACCTCTATTCTTCAAAGAATGGATTTTTTAAAGAACAATTTTTTCAAGGACATCCATAAGGCGCGGATTTTTTAAAGAACAATTTTTCAAGAACCTCTATAGGGCGTAGATTCTTCAATGAATGGATTTATTACAGAACAAATTTTTTAAGGACCTCCATAAAGCGTGGATTTTTTAAAGAACAATTTTTTGAAGAACCTCTATAGAGCGTGGGTTCTTCTATGAATGGATTTTTTAAAGAACAACGTTTTTAAGTTTAAGCCATAAGGCTTAGATTTTTTAAAGAATTTTTTTTTCAAAAAATATTGTTTCAAGGCGTAAGTTTTTTAAATAACATTTTTTCAATAAAAAATTTTTCAAAGACCTCCATAAGGCCTGAATTTTTTAAAGAATTAAAAAAACATTTTTTAAAGACCTCCATAAGGCGTGGATTTTTTTAAAGAAAAAAAAATTCAAAAAATATTTTTTCAAGGACCTCCATAAGGAGTGGATTTTTTAAAGAATTTTTTGTTTTTATAAAAATTATTTTTTTAAGGACTTTCATATGGCGTGGATTTTTTAAAGATTTTTTTTAATTAATTTTTGAAGGACCTCCATAGGGCGTGGATTTTTTAAAGAATTTTATAATAATCCATAGGGCATGGATTATTCTATGAATGGATTTTTAAAGAACAAAGTTTTTAAGTTTAAGCCATAAGGCTTAAATTTTTTAAATAATTTTTTTTTCAAAAAAAAATATTTTCAAGGCGTTGATTTTTTAAATAACATTTTTTCAATAAAAAATTTTTCAAGGACCTCCATAAGGCCCGGATTTTTTAAAGATTTTTTTTTTCAAAAAACATTCTTTCAAGGTCCTCCATAAGGCGTGGATTTTTTAAAGAATTTTTTTTTTAATAATTTTTGAAGGACCTCCATAGGGCGTGGATTTTTTAAAGGACCTCCATAAAGAGTGGATTTTTAAAGATATTTTTTTAATAATTTTTGAAGGACGTGGATTTTTTAAAGATTTTTTTTATAAAAATTATTTTTTCAAGTACTTCCATATGGCGTGGATTTTTTAAATAATTTTTGAAGGACCGCCATAGGGCGTGGATTTTTTAAAGATTTTTTTTTTTAAAATTATTTTTTAAAGGACTTCCATATGGCGAGGATTTTTTAAAGAATTTTTTTTTTTAAATAATTTTTGAAGGACATCCATAGGGCGTAGATTTTTTAAAGAAACCTTTTTCAAAAAATATTTTTTCAAGGACCTCCATAAGGCGTGGATTTTTTAAAGACAATTTTTTTCAAAAAATATTTTTTCAAGTACCTCCAAAAGTCGTGCATTTTTTAAAGAAACTTTTTTCCAAAAAATATTTTTTTCAAGGTCTTAAAAGGCATGGATTTTTTAAAGACAATTTTTTTCAAAAAATATTTTTTCAAGTACCTCCAAAAGTCGTGCATTTTTTAAAGAAACTTTTTTCCAAAAAATATTTTTTTCAAGGTCTTAAAAGGCATGGATTTTTTAAAGACAATTTTTTTCAAAAAATATTTTTTCAAGTACCTCCAAAAGTCGTGCATTTTTTAAAGAAACTTTTCTCCAAAAAATATTTTTTTCAAGGTCTTAAAAGGCATGGATTTTTAAAAGAAACTTTTTTCAAGGACCGCCAAAAGGCATGGATTTTTTAAAGAAAAATTTTAAAGGTTCATAACAGGCGTGCATTTTTAAAGAATATTTTTTCAAGGCTCATAAGAGGTTTGGGTTTTTTTTCTGATCCTCTTATCGAAACTCTAAATCATAGATATTGATTCCTTTCCTCGAAGCCACACATTATCTTGGTATGCAAAACACTTTTCACACATTTAAAATGCTATTTAAATTAGATGTAAATTAAATTAATTTAGAGGCAATTTTTACGCAATTAGATTTTTCAAATCAATTTCAGATCAATTATTATTTAATAATACTGTTGTTAATAATAGCGTTTTGTTAAAATACTAACATTGCTGAACTTTTGCATGAACTTGAACTTGCACAATCAAGATGAAAAAAATCACAACTGTTTTAAGGCAATTCGCAGCACTCGGCGCGTACTGTTTTTGTTTAAGTGTTCTCTTGACAACCATCGTAAAATTGTCGCGTCGTTTTTATGGCAAATTCGTGTTTTCTTGGTGCCGCACTAGAACAACGTTTCGCCATCCGTTTTGTTGGAAATGCAAAATGATACTGACTGCCGGCCAGGCGTAAAATGTTAACTATTCCGATGAAACGAAGTTGTCCTTTTTGGATTTTTTGGGATGAAACGAAAAAAATGAAATTTTTTTTATGCGCCAGCTTAAAGAAATGTAATTCAATTAAAATGAATTTTTTGTTGTAGTTTTTTTTTTTTAATTTTTTAAACTAGTTACAGATTATATGGTCATACATGTTTTCAGTTGACTCACAAACACACACATACACACAAAGTAAAAGTAACGCATTGTGTCCTTCAAAATATGTTTTTTTTTCATTTACAGAGATATTTAATTCATTGTTGAATGCCACAATACGATGTTCTTGGTGAGATTAAATTTTTATTACACATTAACTTTTATTTTTAACGAAATTACATTTTAAATATTTATTTTTTTTATTATTTTAAATTGTTATTAACGGCACAGGGTGTGAAAAATATTAAATACCTCTTGTAAAAATTATAAAACAAACTTGCAAGATTGTAATAAATAATTTACCAGTGTATTTGCATTCCATTTGCATTGTTTCATTTAATTTTTAATTGTAATATTTTATAAAAGTTTTGTGTCTTAAGTCATTTGTTATAGTCATATATTAAAATGACACTTCTCACGTGTTTAGTATAACAATGTGTAAGTGTCGTTAATCTTTGGTTTATCTTCGGTCACTCACACGACAGTATTAAAAATCTTTTTTTTTTTTTTTGGTGACCAACACAAGGGGTAGATTTTTTAAAAATGTTATTTTTTCAAGACCACACAAGGCGTAGATTTTTTAAAATATTTTCTTAATGATAGATGTTTTTTAGTGGTAAAATGTGTAATTTTTTAATTACAAATTTTTTAAAAATATTTCTCATGTCCATGATAAGGAAATGCTTAGATTTTTTAAAACTGTTTTTTTCACGTCCATCACACAGCGTAGATTTTTAAAAATATATATATATATTTTTTTTTGTGTGTCGAACACTTCCTTGTGATATATTCCTCACTCTCACAATTTATTTACAATTGAATGAACGATAAATTACGTGTCTTAAGTCTTTTGTCATGTGAATAATGTTTAGTAAGTCGCTCTCTATCTTCATCTCTTTCCCACACACACACACTTTTACACAAAAACAATCTAGCCATTCCCTGAAGGAAATGTGGGGTGTTGTATCGCCTTTGTCTACTATTGTGGCGACATGTCTCCATATTTTCTACAACTTGTCTACATATCATGTAATAAGAAGAAGCATTTGTTATGTTAACAACCAACTGAGCATGGTTATGCTTCTTCTTTTTTTCTTTAATTATAAATATGTTGGCGGCAATAGACAGATATTTTATTAAAAACGCGAGTTTAAAGTTATTAATGGTAATAATTAAATTAATTAATTAATTCGTGAAAAAATTTTTGAGCAAAAGAAATTATAAAAAATTTACAAGTGACATATGTGACCTTTTGTCTATATATACAAACTATTGACTTACTACTGACCGTGTCCACATATGCGACGCTGTGTCTATATCTAAAAACTACTGACTTACTACTGACCAAGTCACTAGTTCATTTCCAATGACAAGCACATGTTAAATGTCAATAGTAAAATGCATTGTGTTGGGTATAGTCGGTCAACAGTATTGGTGACAATGCCAATAGTAAGTCAATACTGATTTACTGTAGACATTTCCTACAGGGTTATAACGCAACAATGTTCGTGTCTTAAGTCTTTTACTTCAACTGTTATGAGTATTTGTTGTTCTTCTCTCTGTCATGCTTCCATCTCAGTTGTTTCCTAATCCTCTCTTACAGCACAGTCGGGCGAACCACCGCACGCGTGCACTCTCGCGAGATAAATTATCACTATTCTCTCACACACATTCAACTGAACCAATTGAAAAACCATTGTCACACACACAAAGACAAGTGCGTGAGAACAGAATTTTTTATGCTCTGCCCGTGCCTGTCTTGCAGTCACAAATTCACTAGTAATGCTTGTGTTCTAAGTCTTTTCATATGGAATAAGTGAATCTCATATTTCATTCAGTTATGTGAAAGAGATAATTGTAAATCAAAATAATCATACAATGCTTGAAATCACAAACACTTAATATTTATTTTAACTAATTTATAATGGAATGACCCATACAATCTAATAAAAAAAATACTATTACTTATTTCGTATCGAATGAAAGAAAAAAATACATAAATTCTAATGACCAACAATTGAAATTACCGACAACACTTCATGCAAAAAATTCCATTCAACAAAATACAACAACCACAAACCTAAACAAAACATTACGTTCCGTTATTGGCAATTATTTAAAATAAAAACAATATTTTATGGGAAGAAAAAAACAACAAACAAAGAAGTAATAAAAGATTATTTTATGTTTCACTGCAACGTCCTTTACTGAGTTCATTCATCAGTAAATGTTGCCGGCCGGTAGGTAAGTAGACAGTATTGATTACTTATAACCGCGACATGTAAACGTAAAGCTGTCATGCGAAACTTGTTTTACATGGAATTATTTCAGTTTTATAATTGCCGGGAAATAATAATAATAAATCATGGAAGATTTTTTTCTAAATCGAGTCATTAATAAATTACAAAAATTACACGAGTTTTGTATTTAGTTGTTATATATTAATTAAATTACTTGATTAACTAATAGAAGGTAGTAACAATTAGGTTATAGGCAATGAATATGGTAAATTTTTTTCTAAAATCGTAATTTGAATTTTAAATTACATAATTTTTGTAATTATATATAATGAGAGAGAGAAGCGATAATAAAGAAAAGACAAATTCATATGGAAATAAATTGGTTATATTTTTTATGTCGAATACAAGTCGTAAAGTTTTCAAAAATATTTTTTGTGGTCAAAACAAAGAGATGATTTTTTTATACCCTCCAACATAGTATGAAAGGTATATTAGTTTTGTTTTCCCGTTTGTAACTCTTCGAAATAATCATTTCCGAGCCTACAAAGTATATATATTCTTGATCAGCGTAAAATTCTATGACGATTTAGCCATGTCCGTCGGTTCAGATTTAGATATAGCTCCCATATATATTTTCGTCCGATTTTATGTAAATGGTGTAGCAAAGTCCTTATATATTCTCCGATTTTCACGAAATTTGGCATAGTGAACTGAATTAAGTTTAGAACGATGTGTGTTAAGTTTCGTAAAATCGGTTCAGATTTAGATATAGCTCCCATATATATTTTCTTTCGATTTTATGTAAATGGAGTAGCAAAGGCCTTATATATGCTTCGACGAAATTTGGCACAGCGTACAGAATTGAGTATAGAATGCTTTTTCGGAAAAATCGGTTCAGATTTCGATATAGCTCCCACATATACATATATATTCGTCCGATTTTTGTCCAATTGACACGAAATTTTGTACAAGGTATCAAAATGGGAGCTGAATGACGTTATTGAGTTTTTTTTTTAAATTGGTGCAGATGCGACTTTAGCTTCCATATTTTTAACAGTGCGACGTACCGAATAGCGTGTATCAATTTTGCTGTGAATCGTTTTTCATAAATTTGTTCCATGGTACGCAGACGACTCTAAATCTGCCCGAATGCAATTAAATGTATCATAGGTTGCAGAAAAACATGATTATGTTCCTTCGATGGAACATTGACATGCAATTGTAAGGATACATATGTACAATATACCCAAAGTGGTGAAGGGTATCATATAGTCGGCCCAGTCTGACTTTACTGCTTTCCTTACTGATTTATATTAAAATAGTTATCTGATTTGTTACGCGTTTTGTGTTTTGGTTCTAAGAGTCTGTTGTAATCATTTCACCTGCGGATGATAGCGAGATAAAAAATTAGAACGTAAGGTTCCATAATGAACTATAGCCGCATTTAGACCTAGCCCCTGTGTGGAGGTTCCAAAAGCAGTGGACCGATATTCCCCATTTGAACTAAGTTTGGAAGAAATAATAAGATGGGCAAAGTTTGGATGAAATCTAAATTTTCTGAAACGCATTTGGTCCAAAGAAACATGAGGTCTAGAACCAATACTTCGATGAGGCACATTTTCACCGTGTTAAAGTTTATACACCCTCATAAGCCATAAGGCTGAGGGTATAGTTATCCATTAAAAATTTCTGAAATTTGTATTATGGTTTACATAATCCGTTTATAGAAATGTCGGTATAGGTCCACTTGTTGGTCTTAACGCTTTTTCACTTGTAAAATATTGTTTTCATATCCAATACAAGACGTATTGGACATGAAAAGGTTCAGATTTTTAAAAAAAAAAATTTTCATGTGCATCTTTAGAAATATTTTCTTCATGTTCAAACCAAATTGTTTGCTGGGTATATTCAAATTTCAACAATTCTATAAAAAAAAGTTTTAAACTTCTATTGAGACATCAATGATTTTCCGGTGGCTTTTAAAATCAGATTAACACCAAGATAAACACAACAATTATTAGAATTATTTCAGAGAAAAAAACATACAATTTTTTTCTTAATTGAAATACATGCCGCACAACCGGTCGTAGCTGTGTGACGCAATAATTTTTTTAACTGACTTTTTTTGTTATTTTCCATTGTGCAATTTTTGTTGCTCAGCTTGCATTCCTGTCTGGGCTATACTGGTGAGTATAACCAGTTATGTTATATTTTGCGGAAGTAAACAATGCCGTATCGCGATGGTACAACAAGTGAACTTGTCATCGAGAATGGAGGTCAATCGCCAACAAAAGTTATGGTAAACATTTTCAATTTCCAATGTCAGTGAGATGACATGAAAAAGATAACAAAACCTGATGATGAGCCGAAAAGAATGGAAAGGATATTTTAATTGGACATTGTATTGAGATTTTGTGAAATGTTTTGTTTGACATTTCAGGGTTGTTGATGGTCAATAGCACAAACGTGTTAATGGAATAATAAACAATGACAAAAAACGACAATCATTTTCTTACTTTTTTTTTAATTGATGGCTTCTACAAACACAAAATCTAATCTAAGATCAATTAAAATTAATTTTATCGTACGCCTAAAAGTATGCACCACATAGCAATATGGTAAGCCATTTTTTATTTAATTAAAAATAGGGGTATTCATGAAAAAAATTAAATATTTTTTCATATTCAATACAAGGCGTAGATTTTTTAAAAATATTTTTTTCATATCCAATACAAAGATTGTTTCGCTACGCCTACCCCTTGTATTGGATATGGAAAAAATATTCTTAAAAAATCTACGCCTTGTGTGGGACATAAAAAAATATTTTTAAAAAATCTTTGCCTTATCTGGGAGATAATTAAATATTTATAAAAAAATCGTCGCCTTTTGTTGGAAATCTATTATAAAATAACTTTATGCAAATAGACACGATCTAGACACAGGGACGTATGCAGGGGGGCGGCCCGGGGGGCCCGGGCCCCCCCCGAAATGAAAATTTTTCACAGTAAATTTATGTTCGCAACAGCGATTTTTTTCATTTTGTACTACCGGGCCCCCCCCGAAATGAAATCCTGTGTACGTTGCTGTCTAGACAGATGTCGATTATTTTCCACACAATTGCGACAGACCCACATTATGAAGGTTCGGTTAAATGTCTTTAATTAAAATAATAGTTATCTTATGAAAGTTAAACTTCTTTAATTGACATTCTACAATAATGGATTTTATTATATGATGACAGTGAGGTATAGTGTCAATGATTATTGATTACACAGTGCAACACATAAAATAGAAACAAACCAGGAAGGATAGTAGTAAAGTCGAACTGGGCCGACTATATGATACCCTTCACCACTTTGGGTATATTCTACATATGTATCCTAACAGACGTCGCGTGTTTGTAATATATCTATACTTGAATCGATTTCAGGGAAAATTGCCAGAGACTAATTTCAGTACGATGTGTCAAACGGCCTAGCTATGGAGCTTTTCACGAATCTTTGCAACATCATTCTAGACTTAATTCAGTACCCTATGCCAAAATTCGTGCAAATCGAAAGATATATAGGGACTTTGGTGCACCAATTACATAAAAATATACATATGGGAACTATATATAAATCTGAACCGATTTTTACGAAACTTTGCACACATCATACTAGACTTAATTCAGTACGCTATGCCAAAATTCGCGCAAATGAAAACATTTCCAGGGACTTTGGTGCACCATTTACCTTAAATCGGACGTGCTATATATAAATCTGAACAGATTTTCACGAAATTTAACACACATCATTCTACACCTTATTCATTACGCTGCGACAAATTTCGTGAAAATCGAAAGATATATAGGGACTTTGGTGCACCATTTACCTTAAATCGGACGAAACTATATATGGGAGTTATATCTAAATCTGAACCGATTTTCTCGAAACTTGGCACAAATCATTCTGGACCTAATTCAGTACTCTGTGCCAAATTTCGTGCAAATCGAAAGATATGGAGGGACTTTGGTGCCCCAATTACCTTAAATCGGACGAAAATATATATGGAAGCTATATCTAAATCTGAACCGATTTTTCCCAATTTCAATAGGGTTCGTCCTTGGGCCAAATAAGTGACCTATGGTAAATTTCATCCAAATCGGATCATAAATGCGACCTGTACTTTGTTCACAAAAATACATGGACGGACGGACATGCATAAATCGACCCAGAAAGTAATTATATGCATATTCTCAAAAGGAACCATGGGTCTATCTCGATTATTTTTGATGTTACAAACATATGCACAAAGACTTTAAAAAATCCACGCCTTCTATAGAGCCTTGAAAAATTATTCTTTAAAAAATCCACGCCTTCTTCCGAGCCTTGAAAAAAATGTTCTTTAAAAAATCCACGCCTTCTTCCGAGCCTTGAAAAAAATATTCTTTAAAAAATCCACGCCTTCTTCCGAGCCTTGAAAAAATATTCTTTAAAATCCACGCCTTCTTCCGAGCCTTGAAAAAATATTCTTTAAAAAATCCACGCCTTGTGTAGAGCCTTGAAAAATATTCTAAAAAAATTATTCTTTAAAAAAATCCACGCCTTGAAAAACATATTATCAAAAAAATCCATGCTTTATAGAAATCCTCAAAAATAATCTTTCAAAAAATCCGCCGATTATATTTTGGTTGCACAGTGTTATTGGCGTGTGCTATGACATTATTTAAATGATAAATTTGTCGCAAAAGGCGTTCAAACGTGTCTGGTCCAATAACGGTTGTTATCGCGTTATATTAGCTACCTATTGCTTAACATCGGAACCTGAACAAAATCTACAATTGTTTTCTTATAAAAAAATAAAAGTTTTTTTGCAAAATAAAAATGTTCGTAAAATGTTTAATATTGGTGATGTTATATGTGTTCCAAATCCATGCGGAATTTGAAATAAAATGTTAGTGGAATTTTAAATTTCTTTTTGGACTTCTGACTTCAAAAAAAATTATATGTTATTCACTGATTTCAGATCAACGACACGAATTACCACCCCTGTACACATTCGACAATTTTGATATTTGCTTTGTTAATAACACTACCTCCTCCGAACTTGGTTCCACCTATTGTATGGTTTATGCCGAAATACAAGAAGATAACAGCAATGATTTGTGGCAAAAAATCAGGACGCATAATGCCTTTAAATATCACTATCGGAATGATCGTTTATTTTTTGGACTTTGTCTCAGTCGATGTATGGAATATATGGAGAATCAGCAACTCACTGATGGAAATTTCACCATTAACAATGATGTGGGTATAAACACCTGTTTTTATTAAACAAAAACAAAGGCAAATATTTAAATTAATTTATTTTTCAAGATCACCCAATTTTTCGAACAAGTACACAAACAGCCATTGGATCTTGAAATACGTTCAAAGTACTCTCAAATGATACATCGGTGTTTGAATGATGAAATTCAAAGAAAATATGGTTTGAAATTGAAAACCTTTGTGGAATATTGTGAGCGTAGAAGACCAGGGGAAATTGATGGAGGGGAAAAGGGTAAGAGGAAGAATTTGAATTGTTTTTAATAACAAAATGTTTACTAATTCAGTTTCTTCCAGATATCGTAGAATCGGGTTTATTTATGTTTTTCAAAGTTATTTTGCTCTTGGTGGTGCTGTCAACATTTTTCGATTATTTTCTAAAATCCAAACAGCCAAAGGAGAAACAAACCAAGGAATTTTATAAAAAAAATATAGAAGAACCTGGTAAGCCTATTTTTTAAAATATGCACGCCATGTAAAGGCTTTGAAAAAATCTTCTTTAAAAAATCAACGCCTTGTATAGGCCTTAGAAATATATTCTTACAGGAGCCTTGAAAAACTATTCTTTAAAAAATCCACGCCTTATAGGAGCCTTGAAAAAATATTCTTTAAAAAATCCACGCCTTATAGGAGCCTTGAAAACATATTCTTTAAAAAATCCACGCCTTATAGGAGCCTTGAAAAAATATTCTTTAAAAATCGACGCCTTATAGGAGCCTTAAAAAAATATTCTTTAAAAAATCCACGCATTATAGGAGCCTTGAAAAAATATTCTTTAAAAAATCCACGCCTTATAGGAGCCTTGAAAAATTAATCTTTAAAAAATCCACGCCTTATAGGAGCCTGAAAAATTAATCTTTAAAAAATCCACGCCTTATAGAAGCATTGAAAAAATATCTTTTAAATATCCACCCCTTAAAAAACATCATTTAAAAATCCACGCCTTATAGGGGCATTGAAAAAATACCCTTTAAAAATCCACACATCTTTCGGCGGTTTTAACAAATATTTTTTTCGATACAATATTTTATAAATCCCCCCTCTCTCTCCTTTTCCGGTTTTCAGGTTGGCGCCTCTTGACCTCATTTTCACTTAGCCGCAACTATTTCCGTCTAACCCAGCCATATCGCGGTAAGGTGGGTGAACAATTTACCTATTTAGATGGATTACGATCGATAAGCACAATCTTAGTGCTATGTGCCCATTCCTTCTATTTAGAATGCCAGCCAATTGCAAATCCAGAATTTTTTGAAAATTTTGGAAAATCCAGCATAGGATTAATGATTCTCAATAGCACCGTTATCACGGAGACATTTATGATAATGAGTGGCCTTTTGCTCCATATGAAATTTTCTCAAACGATGACTGTAACAGCGCACAGTAATTGGAAAAAATGTTTGCAAATCTTTGTGCAAATACAAATCAGTCGTTATGTGAGGTATATATAGTGAGAATTTGTTTTAATTATAAATTTTTTAATTTATTAACTGTGTTTTTTTAATTTTAGATTCCTTCCCACCCTGATTGCCATGATCGGGGTGAATGCAACACTATTGCAACGTTTTGGTGATGGTCCTTATTGGCGTCATCTTAACGAGCCGAGTCGCATCTTTAGCCGTGAAAATTGGTGGAAAAATCTATTATTGATTAATAATTTTTCACCGCGGGATACTGTAAAGAAAATAAATTTGAATATTTATTTAAGTTGTATTTATTGTTTCTTTTTTATTGTTTTACAGGTAAATCCGTATACTTGGTATTTGGCAGCGGATTTTCAATTATTAGCATTATACACAATGATATTAATTGTTATATTCAAGTAAGTAGACATTAGGTGGGTTCGTATATTACAGAGACATTTTTTTCAAGGCCAAAATAGGCGTGGATATATTTAGACATATTTTTCAGGCGTGGATTTATTTAAACATATTTTTCAGTGCTCCTATGACACGTGGATTTATTTAAAAATATTTTCCGGGCTCCTATGAGGCGTGGATTTATTTAAACATATTTTTCCGGGCTCCTATGATGCGTGGATATATTTAAAAATATTTTTCAGGGCTCCTATGAGGCGTGGATTTATTAAAAAATATTTTTTAGAGCTCCTATGAGGCGTGGATTTATTTAAACATATTTTTCAGGGCTCCTATGAGACGTGGATTTATTTAAACATAATTTTTCAGGGCTCCTATGAGGCGTGGATTTATTAAAAAAATATTTTTCAGGGCTCCTATGAGGCGTGGATTTATTTAAACATATTTTTCAGGGCTCCTATGAGACGTGGATTTATTTAAACATAATTTTTCAGGGCTCCTATGAGGCGTGGATTTATTAAAAAAATATTTTTCAGGGCTCCTATGAGGCGTGGATTTATTTAAAAATATTTTTCAGGGCTCCTATGAGGCGTGGATTTATTTAAAAATATTTTTCAGGGCTCCTATGAGGCGTGGATTTATTGAAACATATTTTTCAGGGCTCCTATAAGGCGTGGATTTATTTAAAAATATTTTTCAGGGCTCCTATGAGGCGTGGATTTATTTAAAAATATTTTTCAGGGCTCCCATGAGGCGTGGATTTATTTAAAAATATTTTTCAGAGCTCCAATAAGGCGTGGATTTATTAAAAAATATTTTTCAGGGCTCCTATGAGGCGTGGATTTATTAAAAAATATTTTTCAGGGCTCCTATGAGGCGTGGATTTATTTAAACATATTTTTCAGGGCTTCTATGAGGTGTGGATTTATTTAAACATATTTTTCAGGGCTCCTATGAGGCGTGGATTTATTTAAAAATATTTTTCAGGGCTCCTATAAGGCGTGGATTTATTTAAAAATATTTTTCAGGGCTCCTATGAGGCGTGGATTTATTTAAAAATATTTTTCAGGGCTCCTATGAGGCGTGGATTTATTAAAAAATATTTTTCAGGGCTCCTATGAGGCGTGGATTTATTAAAAAATATTTTTCAGGGCTCCTATGAGGCGTGGATTTATTTAAACATATTTTTCAGGGCTTCTATGAGGTGTGGATTTATTTAAACATATTTTTCAGGGCTCCTATAAGGCGTGGATTTATTTAAAAATATTTTTCAGGGCTCCTATGAGGCGTGGATTTATTTAAAAATATTTTTCAGGGCTCCTATGAGGCGTGGATTTATTTAAAAATATTTTTCAGGGCTCCTATGAGGCGTGGATTTATTTAAAAATATTTTTCAGGGCTCCTATGAGGCGTGGATTTATTTAAAAATATTTTTCAGGGCTCCTATGAGGCGTGGATTTATTTAAAAATATTTTTCAGGGCTCCTATGAGGCGTGGATTTATTTAAAAATATTTTTCAGGGCTCCTATGAGGCGTGGATTTATTTAAAAATATTTTTCAGGGCTCCTATGAGGCGTGGATTTATTTAAAAATATTTTTCAGGGCTCCTATGAGGCGTGGATTTATTTAAAAATATTTTTCAGGGCTCCTATGAGGCGTGGATTTATTTAAAAATATTTTTCAGGGCTCCTATGAGGCGTGGATTTATTTAAAAATATTTTTCAGGGCTCCTATGAGGCGTGGATTTATTTAAAAATATTTTTCAGGGCTCCTATGAGGCGTGGATTTATTTAAAAATATTTTTCAGGGCTCCTCACCTTATAGGAGCTCGGAAAAATATTTTTAAATAAATCCACGCCTTTTGGTAGCCCTAAAACATATTTTGTTTCTATTTTCCTTATAAATCGCCTCTTTTCCAGATTCCCAAAGTATAAAAAACCTATCCTCATTACAATGGGCTGTTTGGCAGTCATCATACCAACCACCATAAGTTATGTCTTCAAATTGGATTCTTCATTTATGCTCAGACCAGAGTAAGTTCAAAACACGACATTGTACAACTCCATTAAAAATGAAGATATTTATTATTTGCAGAACCTATCGTTATAACTTTATTAAAGATTATAAACTCTACACTCACACCTATACACCATTCTATACCAATATGGGTGGTTACCTCTGCGGTTTGGTGTGTGGTGAAATATATCAGAACTATCTGCGCGACGAAGAGAAACGTCAACGTTTCCAAAAAATATTTAAATATTTATGGATACTGCCACCTATGGCTGGATTTTTAATAAATTATATAGGGTCAATTGTTATATTCCATGAACCCTCTATATGGACTGCCTTGTATACGGGTCTACATCGTAATTTCTGGATTATATTGGTGTGTGGTATACCAGTCGTGGCTATGACAAGCAATAGGGAGTGTAAGTAGCCGAGTAGTAAACCATTGAAGAATATATTTTAAAATAAATATTTTTCCAGCACTTGCTAGTGAATTTTGTAGTCTACCAATATTTCGTGTATTTGCCCGCCTAACACCGCAAATTTATCTGTGGCACTGTCTGGTACTTCAGGTGACGACGACCTATCATCGGCAGCCGCAATATCTTAATATGGTGCAATTTGTAAGTTCGATATTTTTTTTTCAATTTTCAAAATGATTTATTTATTTTTAGAATTCTCAAACTATGATTACTTTAACTTTTTCGACGGTGGTGGCATTTTTCGGCTACTTGCTTCTGGAACTACCATTTTCACAGGCCTTAGAGGCATTAGTGATGCAAAGAAAGAAATTGGATGCAGGTGGAAACATGACTATTTGTATTAATTTTTTATTCTTTTGTTAATTTGTTTCGTTTTTTTTTTAAATTTTCAGCGAAACCTGAGAAGGAGGCAAAGATCCAATAGATTTTATATTTAATAGATTTATTAAAATTGTTAAATAATAACAACCCGAATAAATGTTGGAAAATATTTATTTTGTTTGTCTTTTAAAAATCGCCGCCTTAATGGGTGGCGTAGGGGATGATAGATACAAAGCAACGACTCTGATTGGCTTCAACATGGCGTAGTCCAGGCTTATCTTGGTCCCTCTTTCATCTCAATTGTGGACACTGACCTCCCCGTGGTGCCAACTGATGTACCTATTTTCAGCATCCGATGAAATAGTGAGCTAATATATGCCGCGAGTTCACCCATAAGAACTATAAAAAATGGGTTGAGGCGTCGGGTTAGTTGCCCACACTCGGAAAACCGAATCTACTATGAAAAAGCAAAGAAAAAGAAAACCAAACTAATGGAAAGGACCACGATCTGCGAATGTGCGCATGTTGTACAGAACAGGCGCAGTTTTCGCTTTGGCGGATGTACTCAAGAAGTACAAAGTCGATATTATTGCCTTACAGGAAATGCGATAGAAAGGGACAGGCGTAAGTAAATCAGATGATTTATTCTTTAATAAATCCACGCCTTATGGGAGACCAGGAAAAATATTCTTTAATAAATCCACGCCTTATGTGAGCCTGGGAAAAATATTCTTTAATAAATCCATACCATGTCTAGGTTTTACAAAATAATACAAAGTTTTATTCGAACTCATTTGCATTAACTAACTTATAATGAGTGGTCTAAAGTTCGTTTACATTAATTATCACTTGGTATTATTTAATTGAGGCCTTTATAAATTTCCGACCATTGATTACACTATGCAATAGAAAGAAATATGAAATATGGGTTTTTATATGCGGGGACCTCTATAGTGCCTTAGAAAATAGTATTCCCTAAGAACTTCAAAATTTCTATAGGGCCTTCAATATATTCTTTAATAAATTGACGCCTTATAACAGACCGGAAAAAAATCCTGAAGGAAATTCAAGCCTTCGATTACCCTTAGAAAAATATGTTTCAACAATTTAATCCGTTTTAACCCAGAAATGAAGATATCAACGCCTCCTGTAGACCAAAAAAATAATCTTTACAAAATCAACGCCTTATTGGAGACCTGAAAATATGCCATATACCAAACCTTCTCTAGATCTTTCAAAAAATATTCTTTAATAATCCACGTTTCTAATAAAGCAGGAAAAAGCGTTCTTAAAAACATCTACGCCTTCTTGAAGCCTTGTAAAAATATTGTTTAAAAATCCACGCCTTATAACAGCCCTTAAAAATATTCTTTAAAAAGCCACACCCACTGTAGAGCCTCGAAAAATTTTCTTAAAAAAAAAATACGCCGATTAATTTTATTTGTTGCACAGTGTTATCTTTCGTATGTGATGACAATATTTAAGTATTAGATTTGTCGCTAAACGTATTTAAACGTATCTAGTTCAATATTGTTGGTTATCGCTTTACCATAGTTACACATTGATCTGCTGCGGAACCTGAAAATTGTTTTTTTTTATAAAAAAATAGAAGTTTTGTTGAAAAATGTTCACAAAAAGTGTAATTTTAGTGATATTATTTGTGTTCCAAGCTCGTGCCGATAACAATATTCAATGTTAGTACCAAAATATTCCATAAAAAACAAAATAAAATCTTTAAATCCCCCTTTCAGATCAGCGACATGAATTGCCACCCCTCCATACATTGGACAATTATGATGTGTGTTTTGAAAATTACACTACCCTCTCCGAACTCAGCGCCACCTATTGTATGGTTTATGCCGAAATACAAGAAGATAACAGCAATGAATTGTGGCAAAAAATCAGGGCGCATAATGCCCATAAAAGTCACTATCGGAATGATCGTTTATTTTTTGGACTTTGTCTCAGTCGATGTATGGAATATATGGAGAATCAGCAACTCACTGATGGAAATTTCACCATTAACAATGATGTGGGTATAAACACCTGTTTTTATTAAACAAAAACAAAGGCAAATATTTAAATTAATTTATTTTTCAAGATCACCCAATTTTTCGAACAAGTACACAAACAGCCATTGGATCTTGAAATACGTTCAAAGTATTCTCGACTGATTCATCGGTGTTTGAATGAAGAATTCCAAAGAAAATATGGTTTGAAATTGAAAACCTTTGTGGAATATTGTGAGCGTAGAAGACCAGGGGAAATTGATCGAGGGGAAAAGGGTAAGAGGAAAAATTTGAATTGTTTTTAATAACAAAATGTTTACTAATTCAGTTTCTTCCAGATATCGTAGAATCGGGTTTATTTATGTTTTTCAAAGTTATTTTGCTCTTGGTGGTGCTGTCAACATTTTTCGATTATTTTCTAAAATCCAAACAGCCAAAGGAGAAACAAACCAAGGAATTTTATAAAAAAAATATAGAAGAACCTGGTAAGCCTATTTTTTAAAATATGCACGCCTTGTAAAGGCTTTGAAAAAATCTTCTTTAAAAAATCAACGCCTTGTATAGGCCTTGAAAAAATTTTCTTTAAAAAATCCACGCCTTGTGTAGACCCTTGAAAAAATATTCTTTAAAAAATCCACGCCTTGTATAGACCCTTGAATAAATATTCTTTAAAAAATCCACGCCTTGTGTAGACCCTTGAAAAAATATTCTTTAAAAAATCCACGCCTTGTGTAGACCCTTGAAAAAATATTCTTTAAAAACTCCACGCCTTGTGTAGACCCTTGAAAAAATATTCTTTAAAAAATCCACGCCTTGTGTAGACCCTTGAAAAAATATTCTTTAAAAAATCCACGCCTTGTGTAGAACCTTGAAAAAATATTCCTTGTGAAAAAATATTCTTTAAAAAATCCTCGCCTTGTATAGGCCCTGAAAAATATTCCTTAAAAAATCCACGCCTTGTGTAGACCCTTGAAAAAATATTCTTTAAAAATATCCACGCCTTGTGTAGACCCTTGAAAAAATATTCTTTAAAAAATCCACGCCTTGTGTAGACCCTTGAAAAAATATTCTTTAAAAAATCCACGCCTTGTGTAGACCCTTGAAAAAATATTCTTTAAAAAATCCACGCCTTGTGTAGACCCTTGAAAAAATATTCTTTAAAAAATCCACGCCTTGTGTAGACCCTTGAAAAAACATTCTTTAAAAAATCCACGCCTTGTGTAGACCCTTGAAAAAATATTCTTTAAAAAATCCACGCCTTGTGTAGACCCTTGAAAAAATATTCCTTGTGAAAAAATATTCTTTAAAAAATCCTCGCCTTGTATAGGCCCTGAAAAAATATTCCTTAAAAAATCCACGCCTTGTATAGGCCCTGAAAAAATATTCTTTAAAAAATCCACGCCTTGTCTAGACCCTTGAAAAAATATTCTTTAAAAAATCCACGCCTTGTCTAGACCCTTGAAAAAATATTCTTTAAAAAATCCACGCCTTGTGTAGACCCTTGAAAAAATATTCTTTAAAAAATCCACGCCTTGTCTAGACCCTTGAAAAAAAATTCTTTAAAAAATCCACGCCTTGTCTAGACCCTTTAAAAAATATATTCTTTAAAAAATCCACGCCTTGTCTAGACCCTTGAAAAAATATTCTTTAAAAAATCCACGCCTTGTCTAGACCCTTTAAAAAATATTCTTTAAAAAATCCACGCCTTGTCTAGACCCTTGAAAAAATATTCTTTAAAAAATCCACGCCTTGTCTAGACCCTTGAAAAAATATTCTTTAAAAAATCCACGCCTTGTCTAGACCCTTGAAAAAATATTCTTTAAAAAATCCACGCCTTGTCTAGACCCTTGAAAAAATATTCTTTAAAAAATCCACGCCTTGTCTAGACCCTTTAAAAAATATATTCTTTAAAAAATCCACGCCTTGTCTAGACCCTTGAAAAAATATTCTTTAAAAAATCCACGCCTTGTCTAGACCCTTGAAAAAATATTCTTTAAAAAATCCACGCCTTGTCTAGACCCTTGAAAAAATATTCTTTAAAAAATCCACGCCTTGTCTAGACCCTTGAAAAAATATTCTTTAAAAAATCCACGCCTTGTCTAGACCCTTGAAAAAATATTCTTTAAAAAATCCACGCCTTGTCTAGACCCTTGAAAAAATATTCTTTAAAAAATCCACGCCTTGTCTAGACCCTTGAAAAAATATTCTTTAAAAAATCCACGCCTTGTCTAGACCCTTGACAAGGCGTGGATTTCCATGAAAAAATATTCTTTAAAAAATCCACGCCTTATGGGAACCATAAAAATATACTTAAACATTTTTATAAAATAAAATTTTCTATAAATTTCCCACCTATACAGCTTGGCGCCTATTGACCTCCTTTTCACTTATCCGCAACTATTTTCGCCTAACCCAACCATATCGTGGCGGTGATGAAGTGGGAACACAATTTACCTATTTGGATGGTTTACGATCGATTAGCACATTCTTAGTGATCTGGGCCCATTCATTCTATTTGGTATACCAACCTATTGTGAATCCAGAATTTTTTGAAATTTGTGGAAAATCTACAATAGGATTAATGATTCTAAATTGCACCACTATCACAGAGCCATTTATGATAATGAGTGGTCTGCTGCTGCATATGAAGTTTTCGAAAACAATGGATGTAACACCGCGGAGTAGCTGGAAAAAATGTTTGCAGATCTTCGGCCGATTACAAATGAGGCGTTATGTTAAGTAAGTGAATGGGGATATATATATATATATATATATATATATTTGTTTAATTTATAATGTGTATTTTTCCCCATTTCAGATACCTCCCCACACTGATTGCCATGATCGGGGTGAATGCAACAATTTTGCAACGTTATGGTGATGGTCCTTTTTGGCGTCATCTCAATGAGCCGAGCCGCACCTTTAGCCGTGAAAATTGGTGGAAAAATTTATTAATGATTAATAATTTTTCACCGCAAGATACTGTGAGTAAAGAAATTTGGCGATTTATTTGAAACTGTTCCTTTGACTTTTTTTTAATTTTTGCTATAGGTGACTCCAGTAACTTGGTATTTGGCAGCGGATTTTCAATTATTTGCTTTATACACAGTGCTATTAATTTTTATATTCAAGTAAGTGGACATTAGCCCTGACAAATATTTTTAGATAAATCCACGATTTTTGGGAGCCCTGAAAAATATTTTTAAAAAAGTCCACGCCTTATAGGAGGCCTGAAAACTATTTTTAAATAAATCCACGATTTTTGGGAGCCCTGAAAACTATTTTTAAATAAATCCACGATTTTTGGGAGCCCTGAAAATTTTGTAAGTAAGTCCACGCCTTATAGGAGGCCTGAAAACTATTTTTAAATAAATCCACGCCTTATAGGAGCCCTAAAAAATGTTTCTTAATAAATCCACGTCGTGTGGTGGACCTGAAATATATTTAAATAAATCCATCCCACTGTTGTGGCCCTTAAAAGTGAAAACGCTTTGTTTATAGGGAATACATTTATTTTCAATACCTTCTAGATTTCCAAAATACAAAAAACCTATCCTCATTACAATGGGATGTTTGGCGGTCATCATACCAACCACTATAACATACGTTTTCAAATTGGATTCTTCATTTATTATAAGACCTGAGTAAGTTCAAAACTCCGCCTTTTTACAACACAATCGAAAATATATATTTTTTACAATATTTCAGGACCTATCGTTATGTCTTTGTTAAAGATTATAAACAATTTACTCACATCTATACCCCATTCTACACCAATATGGGTGGTTATCTCTGCGGTTTGGTGTGTGGTGAAATATATCAAAACTATCTCCGCGAGGAGGAGAAACGTCAACGTTTACAAAAAATATTTAAATATTTGTGGATACTTCCTCCGATGGCTGCATTTTTAATAAACTATATAGGATCAATTGTTATATTCTATGAACCCTGCATATGGACTGCCTTGTATGCGGGCCTGCATCGTAATTTCTGGATTATATTGGTGTGTGGCATACCTATCGTGGCCATGGCATGCAGTAGGGAATGTAAGTAGCCGAACAATAGCCCATTCGAAAATATATTTTAAAATAAATATTTTTTTCAGCACTTGCCAGTAAATTTTGTAGTCTACCAATATTTCGTGTATTTGCCCGGCTAACACCGCAAATGTTTTTATGGCATTCTCTGGTACTTCAGGTGACCACGGCCTATCATCGCCAGCCAAAATACCTTAATATTATGTATTTTGTAAGTTCGTTATTTTTTTATACATTTTTATAAATTTATTTGCAATATTTTTGTTTCTATTGTTTTTTTTAAGAATACTCAAACTATGGTCACGTTAATGTTTTCGTCGGTGGTGGCATTTTTCGGCTATTTGCTTCTGGAACTACCATTTTCACAGGCCTTAGAGGCATTAGTGGTGCAAAGAAAGAAAGTGGATTCAGGTAGAATCATGACTATTTGTATTAATTTTTTATTCTATTGTTAATTTGTTTCGTTTTTTTTTAATTTTCAGTGAAACCTGAGAAGGAGGCCAAGATCCAATAGATTTTATAATTAATAGATTTATTAAAATTGTTAAATAACAACAACCCGAATAAATGTTGGAAAATATTTTGTTTGTATTTTAAAAATCCCCGCCTTATGGGGTGGCATAGGGGATGATAGATACCAAGCAACGGCTCTGATTGGCTTTAACATGGCGAAGTACAGGTTTATCTTGGTCCCTCTTTCATCTCAATTGTGGACACTGACCTCCCCGTGGTGCCAACTGATGTACCTATTTTCAGCACCCGATGAAATAGTGAGCTAATATATGCCGCGTGTTCACCCATAAGAACTATAAAAAATGGGTTGAAGAAAACCAAACTAATGGAAAGGACCACGATCTGCGAATCTGCACTTGGAATGTGCGCATGTTGTACAGAACAGGCGCAGTTTTCGCTTTGTCGGATGTACTCAAGAAGTACAAAGTCGATATTATTGTCTTACAGGAAATACGATAGAAAGGGACAGGCGTAAGTGATGATTTATTCTTTAATAAATCCACGACTTATGGGAGCCTGGGAAAAATATTCTTTAATAAATCCACGCCTTATGGGAGCCTGGGAAAATAGTCTTTAATAAATCCACGCCTTATGGGAGCCTGGGAAAATAGTCTTTAATAAATCCACGCCTTATGGGAGCCTGGGAAAATAGTCTTTAATAAATCCACGCCTTATGGGAGCCCAGCCTGGGAAAATATTCTTTAATAAATCCACGCCTTATGGGAGTCCAGCCTGGGAAAAATATTATTTAATAAATCCACGCCTTATGGGAGCCTGGGAAAAATATTCTTTAATAAATCCACGCCTTATTGGAGCCTGGGAAAAATATTCTTTAATAAATCCACGCCTTATGGGAGCCTGGGAAAAATATTCTTTAATAAATCCACGCCTTATGGGAGCCTGGGAAAAATATTCTTTAATAAATCCACGCCTTATGGGAGCCTGGGAAAAATATTCTTTAATAAATCCACACCTTATGGGAGCCTGGGAAAAATATTCTTTAATAAATCCACGCCTTATGGGAGCCTGGGAAAAATATTCTTTAATAAATCCACGCCTTATGGGAGCCTGGGAAAAATATTCTTTAATAAATCCACACCTTATGGGAGCCTGGGAAAAATATTCTTTAATAAATCCACGCCTTATGGGAGCCTGGGAAAAATATTCTTTAATAAATCCACGCCTTATTGGAGCCTGGGAAAAATATTCTTTAATAAATCCACGCCTTAGTTGGCCCTGGGAAAAATATTCTTTAATAAATCCACGCCTCAGTTGGCCCTGGAAAATAGTCTTTAATAAATCCACGCCTCAGTTGGCCCTTGAAAAATATTCTTTAATAAATCCACGCCTCAGTTGGCCCTTGAAAAATATTCTTTAATAAATCCACGCCTTATGGGAGCCTGGGAAAATATTCTTTAATAAATCCACGCCTTATGGGAGCCTGGGAAAAATATTCTTTAATAAATCCACGCCTTATGGGAGCCTGGGAAAAATATTCTTTAATAAATCCACACCTTATGGGAGCCTGGGAAAAATATTCTTTAATAAATCCACGCCTTATGGGAGCCTGGGAAAATATTCTTTAATAAATCCACGCCTTATGGGAGCCCAGCCTGGGAAAAATATACTTTAATAAATCCATACCATGTCTAGGTTTTACAAAATACTACAAAGTTTTATTCGAACTCATTTGCATTAACTACTTTATAATGATTGATCTAAAGTTCGTTTACATTAGTTTTCACTTGGTATTATTTAATTGAGGCCTTTATAAATTTACGACCATTGATTACACTATGCAACAGAAAAAAATACGAAATATGCGTTTTTATAAGCGTGGAGCTTATGGCACTTGAAAAAAATATATTATGTAAAAAGTCCAGGACTTTTATAGTGCCTTATAAAATATTCATTAAGAACTCCAAGATCTCTGTTGAGGCTTCAAAATAATACTTTAAAAAATTCACGCCTTATAGAAGCCCGGAAAAAAAATTCTTGAAGAAAATGCATGCCTTCTATTGGCCTTAGAAAAACATGTTTCAACAATTTACTCCGATTTAAACCAGAAATGAAGATATTAACGCCTCCTGTAGACCCTAGAAAAATATTCTTTAAAAAAATCAACGCCTTATTGGAGCCCTGAAGAATATTCCATATTCCACCAAGCCTTTTCTAGATATTTCAAAAAATATTCTTTAATAATCCATGTTTCATATAAAGCAGGAAAAAGTGTTCTTTAAAAAATCTACGCCTTGTAAAGCCTTGTGAAAATATTCTTTAAAAAAAACCACGTCCACTATAGAGCCTCAAAAAATATTCTTTAAAAAAATACGCCCATTGAATTTATTTGTTGCACAGTGTTATTTTTCGTATGCGATGACAATAGTTAAGTATTAGATTTGTCGTTAAACGTATTTAAACGTATCTAGTTCAATATTGTTGGTTATCGCTTTACATTAGTTACTTATTGATCTGCTGCGGAACCTGAAAATTGTTTTTTTATAAAAAAAATAGAAGTTTAGTTGAAAAATGTTCGCAAAAAGTGTAATTTTCGCGATATTATTTGTGTTCCAAGCTCGTGCCGATAACAATATTCAATGTTAGTACCAAAATATTCCATTTTCGAAAAAAAATAATAAAAGAAATAAAATCTTTAAATCCCCCTTTCAGATCAGCGACATGAATTGCCACCCCTCCATACATTGGACAATTATGATGTGTGTTTTGAAAATAACACTACCCCCTCCGAACTCAGCGCCACCTATTGTATGGTTTATGCCGAAATACAAGAAGATGACTCAAATGAATTGTGGCAAAAAATCAGGGCGCATAATGCCCATAAAAGTCACTATCGGAATGATCGTTTATTTTTTGGACTTTGTCTAAGTCGTTGTATGGATTTTATGGAGAATCAGCGACTGATGGAAATTTCACCATCAATAATGATGTAGGAATAACAACTATTTTTATTCAAAAAAAAAAAGGTTATTTATTTTTTTTTCTAGATCACCCAATTTTTCGCACAAGTACACAAACAGCCATTGGATCTTGAAATACGTTCAAAGTACTCTCAAATGATACATCGGTGTTTGAATGATGAAATTCAAAGAAAATATGGTTTGAAATTGAAAACCTTTGTGGAATATTGTGAGCGTAGAAGACCAGGGGAAATTGATCGAGGGGAAAGGGGTAAGGGGATATATTTTTTATTTTTAATAAAAAAGGTTAAATAACTTATTTTCTTCCAGATATCGTAGAAACTGTTGTATTAATGTTTTTCAAAATTATTCTGCTTTTGGTGGTGTTGTCAACATTTTGCGATTATTTTCTAAAATCCAAACAGCCAAAGGAGAAACAAACTAAGGACTTTTATAAAAATAATCTAGAAGATCCATGTAAGTAGGCGGTCATAAAAACTCGAAAAAATATTCTTTAAAAAATCCACGCCTTGTGTAGACCCTTGAAAAAATATTCTTAAAAAAATCCACGCCTTGTGTAGACCCTTGAAAAAATATTCTTAAAAAAATCCACGCCTTGTGTAGACCCTTGAAAAAATATTCTTTAAAAAATCCACGCCTTGTGTAGACCCTTGAAAAAATATTCTTTAAAAAAACCACGCCTTGTGTAGACCCTTGAAAAAATATTCTTTAAAAAATCCACGCCTTGTGTAGACCCTTGAAAAAATTTTCTTTAAAAAATCCACGCCTTGTGTAGACCCTTGAAAAAAAAATTCTTTAAAAAATCCACGCCTTGTATAGAGCTTTGAAAAAATATTCTTTAAAAAATCCACGCCTTGTATAGAGCTTAAAAAAACCAGTAAGGAAAGTAGTAAAGTCGGACGGGGCCGACTATATGATACCCTTCACCACTATGAGTATATTAAACAGGGCTAATAACATGAAATTGGATGAAATAAAATATGTGATATTTATCTAAATGTGAATCGACTTAGATCTATCCATAAACATGTCATTCGTTTGTTACAATGGGACAAAAGTATGTAAATCGACTTCAAAAAATATCAATAGGTCATCCGTTGGGCTATGTCTGTACTTCTAGAAAACGCAACTACGTAATTCTATGCTCAATTTTGTACGTTGTGCAAAATTTGATGCCAATCTGACTAACGTGAGGAATTTGATGCCCAATTTACTTAAAATCGGGTGAAAATATATATGGAAGCTATATCCAAATATGAACCGATTTCAACGAAACTAATCACAGGTTAGGTTACACTAATTTCAGTAAGTTTTGTTCCTATCAGCCATATATTGGTCCCTTGGTGCGTCAATTTCTTAAAATCAATCTATAATATATGGAAGCTCTATCTAAATGTCAACCGATTTTCACAAAAACTTGGCACACATCATTCTGTACTAAATTCAGTACGCCAAATTTCGTGCAAATCGAAAGATATATGTGGACTTTGGTGCACCATTTACATGAAATCGGACGAAACTATATATGGGAGCTATATCTAAATCTGGTCCGATTTTCACGAAACTTGCCAGACATCATTCTAGACCCAAATGATTAGGCTGTACCAAATTTCGTGCAAATCGAAAGATATATAGGGACTTTGGGGCACCATTTACATTAAATCGGACGAAACTATATATGGGAGCTATATCTAAATCAGGACCGATTTTCATGAAACTTGGCAGATATCATTTTAGGCTCAATTGAGTACGTTATGCACAATTTCGGGCAAATCGAAAGATATATAGGGACTTTGGGGCACCATTTACATGAAATCGGACGAAACTATATATGGGAGCTACATCTAAATCTGGACCGATTTTCACGAAACTTGCTAGACATCATTCTAGACCCAAATGATTAGGCTGTACCAAGTTTCTTGCAAATCGAAAGATATATAGGGACTTTGGGGCACCATTTACATAAAATCGGACGAAACTATATATGGGAGCTATATCTAAATCGGGGCCGATTTTCTCGAAACTTGGCAGACATCACTCTAGGCTTAATTCAGTACGTTAT